GGAGGTGGAGGGGACCTCCCCACCTCTCTGGGCAGACCTGTTTCAGCAGCTGGGACCCCCCCATTACTGAGATTGTGTGGGTGAGCCAGAGCCTCCCTTGAGCCTGGCCTCAAAAGTACCTGTTAGTGTGTTAACCCCAGATTCTCTCCAAGGAGATTCTGATCCAGGAGCCCATGGTCAGAGCAAAGGTCTGTGTTTCCCCCAATTTCCCACACAACCTGGGAATGAATGCAGTGGTTGGAACCTGCACTTGAAATACCTGGGGCAGATTTTAAACCTTACAGAGGCACCTGGAATAAGGCCCAAGCCTCAGCACCTTTAAATAGTTGCTCAGGTGACCTTCATGGACAGGCTAAACTGAGAAACACTGGGATGAAGCCTTGCGTCATCATGAATGTCCTGGTACAATGCCAGCATCCTTGGGAGAGATTTGGGGCTCTTAACAAAGCTCCTTAAGTCAGGTGACCAGCCCTTCCAGTCACTGGGGACCAAGGTGTTCCAGAATGTGTAGGTGGCTGCTTGGACATGTCCTGTGCTTGGGGCTTTTTGTCTTCTTCCACTGGGCTGTGTCAGGCCACCCTACATGTGTTGGGTGAGGAAGGTGAAGGGATTAAGAAGCACAAATTGGCAGTAACAGTCACGGGGATGTGAAGTACACATAGGAAACACAGTAACACTGTAATGACCGCACATGGTGCCGGCGGGTACTAGACAAGACAACTCCATCAGTTCTAGAGATCCCCCAAGGATGACAGTGCTGCTTTCCACGCTTCTCCACGGCGCAGGCCCTGGTGGTGCCCAGGACTGAGTCTGTCACTTGCACACACAGCCACTGTTAGGAAAGGACAGGGATGCCTAACATGCATCCCAGGACGAGGTGCTGCCTGCAGGGCACGGCAAAGCAAGCAGTTCAGAAAGTAACTGGTCAGTTGGAAATCAGTGGGCATCTGAGCTTAGCTGGTTATGTTGTTGACTTTGGTTTGGTTTGGTTTGGGGTCAGGGAGGTCACTGTTAGGGCAAAAGATTAGGAAGTCCTTTGAAAAGCCCCTTAGGATTTGGGCATGTTTGTTTACTCAGTAAACATTTACTGAGCACCTACCTACCTGTCAGGAGTTATACTAGGTACCCAAGCAAAAACAGCAACACAGCAGGCACTGACTGGGCTCTGGCACAGGCCAGCGGGGATTCAAACCCCAGCTCTGCCCTTACTGGCTAGTAGACCTTGGATAAGTCATTTAACCTCTCTGTGCCCCTTCCTTTAACCTGTAAATTGGGGAGAAGGCCCCAACAGCTCAAATAGGGAAATAATGCATGTAGGGCAGTAAGCCAGGACTGAGACCCAGGCAGCCTGAGTTGGTGACAGCCCACTTAACCCCTGGGAAGCTTACTTCAAAAATAGAGTCCTGTGCACTTTGACTTAAAGTCCTGTGGTGCCAGGAGTTACCCACAGCTGGTTCTTCAGAACACGTCTCCTGCGTTCTAAACCTGCCTCACACCCTTGTGCACTATGTGTTGTGTTCAGGACCTGTGCCAAGTCCAAGCCCGTGGAAAGCATCCCTGGTGGAGAAGTCAAGTTTCCAGCCTGCAGGCCTGGCCCCTGCAGCAGGACGTCCCCAGGGGCCTGATGGTCCTGCAGGGCAGAGAAAAGGCAGCCAGAGAGGAAATCGCAGGGAGTGCCTGGTGAGTGACGGGTTTGACCAGAGCCGCCCTGGGAGTCCCTTGCCTATCGGTAGAACACTGCTATGAGTAGAGACACGTGAAGACGAGGGTATGGGAACAAATGTGCCACTCGTGCCTCACCCTCTGGGCTGGAGGAAGCTCCGGGAGCTCTGCCCTGACACAGTTTTCTGGATGCCCCTGTCTACACACAGGACAGGTTAAGTCTCAGTGCACCCTCTGCTGTTCAGAACGGAGAATGTGGCCCACTGAAATGCCAGATCTAACTCTCCGAGACGCAGGTCCAATGGCACGATTTGAGACGCCTGCCAGCTTAAGAGAACCCTTTTTAAAAGGCACATGAGCCCTGCCTCTGGGGCAGAAACTGTGGCTCGAGGGTGATGAGGACAGGAGCACAAATGGGCAAAGGGCCTGAATGGACATTTTTCCAAGGAAGATATACTAAAGGTCAACAGGTACCTGAAAAGATGTTCAACATCTCTAGTCACTGGAAAAATACAAGGTACTGCCACAGTGAGACATCACCTCACACCTGTTAGAGTGGCTATTATTAAAAACACCAGGGATATGGAAAAAAGGGAACCCTTGGGCACTGTGGTGGGAATGAAAATTGGTCCAGCCACAACAGCAAAGAGTATAGAGGATCCTCAAAAAATGAAAAATAGAACTACCACATTGCAGATCAAGTCAGTGACCAGGAGAGTTGCAGAAAGAGCACTGTGACTCCTCACACCTAGGGAGAAACCCAAGTTTTGAAGTGAAATCAGACACAATGTCTAGTGGAATTCCTGTAAAGTCCTCTGTGTGCTTTACTTTTAAAACAGAAATTCAAAAGATAGCACTATCTACACATCCTAACCTAAGAACAGCTTTTTCCCCTTCAATACCAATATCAAAGACAAATTTAAAATAAATGTTTCATTTATTCAATTGTTCTTTTCAAAAAGAGATTAACCGTGCCTCCCTTTCAGAGAGCAAGCACTGTGTAACACCTCGTGGGCCCGGATCCCTCGGGCTCCTTGCAGCCCCACCTGGGGGCATCTAAGCACAGGGGGTCCTGCAGACACCCCTCAACACCTCCAGCCTGTGCTGTTCTCCGCTTGCACCAGGCTCCTCACAGACACCTGCTGAGGCTGATCCTGCATGCAACCTACTGAAGACTGGATATGGCTGCTGTCACAGAAAAAACTGCCCCTGCTGAGGTGAGCACCAGCAACACCCACAGGAAGTAAACAGGACACCGACAGGAAGCAGACAGGAAGCAGAAACAGACAGGACGCAGGAAGCACACAGGAAGAGAGCTCTTTCCCTCCAGCCTCCCAGGCGGCCTCAGGGCTCCTAGTGACAGAGGCCAAGCCAACTAACTGGCCGCGCTGAAATTCGGTTTGCAGCATCCCGGCACCAGCATCCACCAGCCGCTATAGAAGAGTGGGTTTGAAGCTCAGAGACAACAGCTTACCTGGCACCTGGCTCAAATGGTGAGCACATGGACTATCTCTCAGGCTACTCAGACATGCTCATTGCTCTACACCTTCATGAACCTCCATATATCAAAACAAGCCTACGTCCCCACCAACTACAGCAGGAACACCCCTTGTGTGAGGGAAGATGCCCTTACCCGCACCCCACACTGAGGACTCGGCAAGTCCCACGGTCACAGGTTTATCCCAGGCTGTGTGGGTCAGTGCTCGAATTCAGTCTTAGTCTCACCTAAATATCTGCTGCCTAAAGGCTAAATTGTAAAATTAACCTCCAACGAACTTGTATAACATACTAAGGGGAGGGAGGCCAAAATAAAAGTGTGCACGTGGGCGCACACACCATAAGCAGAAGAAAAGACACGCGGAGACCACAGGCCCTCGGTTCTGAGGCTGCTCGTGAGGCCACAGTTACCACTCCTAACCTGCCCCTGCCCCGCCCACCCGCACTCCGCGCCCTTATCTGGGCCTCAGTGGGTTGAGGCCCCCTAGGGGTGACTGGAATCTTCATTCACACAGTGTCCGAATCCTTGGTGGGCCTGCCTTTTTGTTGTTATTGTAAACTGTTGTTTTACACTAACTCTTACTGTTGCACCTGGAAGTGCTAAGAGGCACCCAAGAGAGCTCCTGGGCTCTAGACCTAGCTTTCCTTGTCCCACTATGTAGCACAAACCCGATTCCCACACCACCCCCCAAGCAGGACCCCTCGTGCAACAGAACAGAGTATAACCCCTCTCTGCCTGTTCGCAGTCTCGATCTCCTGTTCACTAGACCCTCTGTTGCGTCTCCTGGTGGAACAGATCATTAACCCCGTCAGGAGTCAGAACTGCAAACAGCAGAGAGAATGCTCAGACAGGGCAGCAGAACCCTGCCGGTGCTCGTTTGTCTGGTGTGCCGGTGAAAGCAGCCACTCCCCTTCCCGCCCCTCGAACCCTGACCTGTGTGTTCAGTGTAAGGAAAAGAAAGAACCACATATTGGTCTCTTATCAAAAGCAGAGTTTTAATGTAGAAGTTCCTAAAAAAATTAAGAATAGAGCTGTCATATGATCCAGCAATCCCTCTTCTGTGTATATACCCAAAAACTGACAACGCTTATTTGTAAAGATATATGTACTCCTAGGTTCATCGCAGCATCACTCACAATAGCCAAGACACAGGAAGAACGTCGGTGTCCTTCGACACTTGATTGGATAAAGCAGATGTGATACATATGTACAATGGCACACTACTTGGTCATAAAAAATGATGAAATAAAACATTTGCAACAGCATGGCTGGGTCTTGAGAGTGAAATAAAGCAGATTGAAAAGGACAAGAACTATATGATCTCACTCATAAGTGGGATATAAAACAGAAAGCAACAAACGAACAAACGAACAAACACACTCATAGACACGAACAACAGTGTGGTGGTCACCAGAGGGGAAGGGGGTGGGGGGAGTTAGAAGAGAGTGAAGGGGTCAAATATGCAGTGAGGAAAGGAGATGAGAATCTGGGTAGAGAGCACAGTACAATACACAGGTGATATGTTATAGAATTTGTACACCTGGTACTTACATAATGTTATCAACCAGTGTTACCCTAATACATTCAACTTTTTTAAAAAAGCATACTTTTGGCCCTGGCCTGGTGGCTCATTGTTGGAGTATATTGAAGCACTGTCCCATACACCAAAAGATTGGGGGTTTGATTCCCGGTCTAGGCACACACCTAGGTTGTGGGTCTGATTCCCAAATGAAGTGTGTATGGGAGGCAGCCTATCGATGTTTGTCTCTCACATTCTCTCCCCACCCCCCAACTTCCACTCTTTCTAAAATCAATAAACAGTTTATTTTTAAAAAGCATGCATTTGTATGAAAGAAAAGAAAGTTAGCACTCTCTTAGACAAGAACAGAAGAGGTCTGTGGGCTTCACAACATGCAGACCATTAAGGTAATGCCACCTACTTCACGGCTTTTTCCACTTCTATTTAGTCCCAAAGAAGGGCCAGTTGGGGCTTACACACACATCTGTACACCCGTGTTCATGGCAGCATTATTCACAGTAGCCAAAAGGTGGAAACAACCCCGATGTCCATCAGTGGATGAACAGATACCCAAAATGGGGTACACACATTCAATAGAATGTGATTCAGCCTTGAAGAAAATTCCGACACATGGTACTGCACGAATGAACCTTGAGGTCATCATGCTGAGAGAACTCAGCCATGCATGAAGGTCACATATGGCACGATCCCACTAACATGAGGCACGTAGAGCAGTCAGATTCATAGACACAGAGTAGAATGGCAGTTGCCAGAGGCTGGGGACCGAGGGAGATGGGAAGTTGTTTCAGTCCGGGATGACGAGAAAGTTCTGGGGGTGGACAGTGACAATGGCTGCACCACAGTGTGAATGTGCTGAATCCCACAGGGCTGTGCACGCAAAGTGGTTAAAACTGTAAATAGTACGTCATGTATATTCTACCACAATAAAAAAAAAAAAAGTTTTTTAAAAGCATCCCAGCTCGTGAGAGCACTATGTATGGTTCAACTGCCCACGAGTGTTCAGAAGGGGCCTTCTAGTAGGCCCGATGCTTCTAGGTGAAGGGGAATGTGGTAAAACCAGTGAGGTCCACGGCGTGCACACTCTGCCGCGTGAACAAACCCGTATGGTGCCACGCTGGGGCTCAGCACTGGGCTCAGCTGTCGGGAGACTAGACACTTGACATCAGTGGCCGCCAGGTCAGCCCTTGGGAAAGGAAGTCCATGTCGTGGGGCCCATGCGTAACCTCCGCCCCTGCCACCATGGCGGCCTCGTCCACAGACCCACTGCACAAATAAGGAGGTGCCCTGGGGAGAGCCCAGCCACCCACCACAATTTCTGTTGACTGCTTTCCTGTTTCTTTGCATGTCTCACAACCTGAAGATTTAAAAATGCCGGGTGGATGACAACCCTTTACAGTCAATATCTTCCCTGAAGCTCAAATTCTTTCCTGAACTTCTAGGAGGTGTGGTTCTTCAGTGTGGGTCCATCGGAGGTCAGCTCAGGAGGGTCAATGTCAAGACTAAGAGTGCCCCAGCCCCTCTAGACCTTACTGAGGGCCGGAGCATTCACCTGCTGTTGGACTGGGCGACCCCTCCCAGCTTCATCAGAGGTTCCCACTGTGCCTCCCCCCAGTGAAAACCTTGGCTGCTGCGGGGTCTTACTCTCAGCTCCATCAGCTGACCCCTGCTTCCCTCTTTCTCTGGCACTGATGCTTGTGACTGTGATCGATCTGTCCCCACCCATTTGTACTTTGGAGTCTGGAGGGGCAGGTCATCCTGGAAGAGCTCCTCACCTAGTTTTCTGATAGACACCATCAAAAGGGGTCTTGGCTTTACGATCTAGTTAGTGTTTACATGCGGGGACTCAAATTCAGAAACCATGGCACCTACAGCCTTCATATTCCCAGATCCACACTCATCCTTGCTTTTCCCACCACCCCCAGTGGTCAGCATCATCTTTACTGCTGTATTTAACCAGTGTTTGAGTAGATTTGACTTCACTGCTTCCAATTCCCTTGCTCACACTTCCTTCTTGTAACTCATTCCTCCCGCCTGTTTTCTTCTTCCCAGACCATGTCCTTCAGCACTTCTCTAAGCAAAGGCCTATTAGTAATATAATAAATGCTCTTAATATTTGCCTGTAAATACCTTTCCTTTTACCCCTGCTCTTTGTTAAGGGTATAGCTGACTCTACCCTTCTAGAGGAAACTCTTGTTACTTGGCCTTCTGGCTTCCAGGGTTCCACTTCAGAAGTCTATTATTTGTCCCTTTGTCAGCAATTTAAAAATTCTGTAAGGTATAGTTGTCAGCTGGTGACAAAATGAGCACTGAAAAATAAATGGAGTAGAAAGGGATAGTGTATTTTAAATGGGAAGGAGCTCACCAAGAATTAACCATGAGCAGCAGCCACACAGAAGCTCTGCAATGGCCTCACACAGAGATGCAGACCCTGGACTGGTCAGGGACCCCTGCAGAGGAATCCCCACCCAGTGCCCCCTCCTGGAGGCTACTCCTATGGCCTTCTTGGTATTTCTCAAACTTCATTCCACAAAGAGCTGTGACATTCTCCCTGAACACCCTGGGAGGGGGCAGTCTAGGGGCTAAATGAGCATGCACCCTACCCCACCCCACACACAGATAAAGAGCTCAGCCCACCCTCACTCGCGTGGCCCGGGAGGAGCCCATGCTCAGGCAGGCATCTGCTCTCCCTACTCCCAGCCCACCCCCTTCCACTCTTTCAGTGCTCCATCCCAGAACCCATTGGTGTCTATTCATTTCTTGAACAAGCTCTGCCCTGTCTCGGGGACTTCGTTTGCACCCTTCGAATTTGGAACTGTCTCCACCTGCCACCCCTGCCTTCAAACAAGTGTTGGCATGAGCGGCTCCTTCTTATTCAAGTCTTGGTTTATCGGTGTGTTACCTCCTTGGTGAGGCCTCCCCCAACCAAGCTCGTATTGTTCCTATGCCCACCCATCACCCTTTCTTCAGCGTGAGGGTGAGGGCCCAAAGGATCATGTTCACCATTATGACGTGTAGATGATCAATAAAAGGTTAAGTAGACCCCCAGCTTAAAGGATTAAATTTAGCTTTAACTCTGCTGCCTCCCAAACTCCCACTAAAATGTTTTTAATTTTTAAAGGCCCAAACTCATGAGGACAGAGAACAGAAGATGACAGAAGTCACATTTCGGAATCTGAAACTGATACCCAAGTGGCTGGCAATCCTCCTAGCAAGTCGAGACTGCAGGTTCCTACTAGGTAAGGAGATGGTCCGGGAGAGCCTGGCTACTCCATGGAAAACCCCAGGCTCCAGGAGAGTCCGTGTGGTGCTGTTCTAGGGTAGAAGCAGTTGGGACTCACAGGGACCTTCAAACACCACCTCCACCACCTACTCACTTCCACTCAGGCAGAGCCCTCGGCCTCCAGCCCATTCAGGTCCAACCCGTAACCCAAGACAGCAGCCCCTTTCTCTAGGGGTTGCTGAGATGGCAGTAGGTACACCAATGCTCCCTTAAGAGCCAGGTGGTGGGAAGGGGTGACCTTGGGCCAGGTCAGGTGCCCCAACTGCACACCACAGGAACCCACTCTGGAAAGGAGCTGAAAATGGCATCACCCAGCGGGAGCCTCCCAGGAAGTCAGCTGGCCCTTTGAGAACAAGGGATCAAGGGCATTTCTAAAGCAGCTGGAAGACACTACAATCACAGGCTATATTTAACCTGCTCTTAACTTTAAACTGGTAACTACCTAAGGCCCTGCTAGGATATCCCCTTAATCAAACTCTAGAGGCAAAGTTCCCTTCCACCTCCAAGCTGGGCTTCTACAGGGCCTCTACACCCCTGCCTCACTTCTACACCCCTGCCTCACTCTTACACCAACACCGCAGGGAGACATCGATTCTCTGCAGCTCTCGCCATGCGGCTTGTTCCAGGATTTGTTCCACTTCTCCATGCCGGGTCCCCAGGGACCAGCACAGGTAACCGGGGTTAGAACAGGGCAGAACCCTACAGGAAGTCTGCCAAGGGCCAGGATGCGATGCCCCTTAATCACCGCCTTACCTGGGCCTGGCTTTGTTGTAGCTTTTCAGATCAGAGGCTGAAAGCAGGCACGCAACTAAGCAAACCATAAGCAGGCTGAGGGAAATGAGTCTACTGTTGAGACTTCCCACCCTTCCCAGGCTCATGGCCCAACAAAATTGGTAACTACGGGGGGGGGGGGCTGTTACAGAAGAAAAGTGGCTATGGTGACTTCTGTCAGTATGGGTACTACAAAGGAATGTTACAAAAATCTCATCATAAACCTAATTAACACATCCCACATCAGAAGACTCTGTATTTTTAGTTTGTATACAATGTCCCCACATACAATTTATTTTTGCCATTTATATTCAAAATATATTTACTTCAGACACTTGGAAGAAATCTCTTGTGTTACCAGTAACAAGACACTTTCATTTAGTAATTATCAAGGAATCAATCACAAGGATTTCAAGTAAACTGCTTGTTTATTAGCACTGGGACTGCAACATAAGAGTTTCCAGTGAATATGCTGAACTGCAGTGAAATGACAGAACAAGGTGAGGTTCGGATATGTGAATGGCGGGTCCTTATTTCTTCCACTCATTCTTGTCGTAGTCCCACTTGGCAGAGAAGCCCTGGATCGGGCTGACCTTCATGTCAAGCATCCTCTTGGTCTGCTTGGCCACCCAGTCCTCTTCAAAGGTGTGCGGGATGGGACCATACACTACAGTCCAAAACAAGTTCATGAGGCAACACTGTCGTAATTGCTTGTTTCTAAGGCAATACACTATGTGTATTAGGGCCACCACAACACGCTGGCAAGCAAATCAGTGAAGTCATCTGCCACTCAGCACCCATGCCCACACAGATGCCAGTGGTTTTTGATTCTGGGCACTGACAACTCTTGATAGTTCCAAACTATTCTCCTCTGTTTGTAAGTGAGCAATTAAATACTTAAGCTCAAGTCAGAACATCTTCACTGTAGGACACAGATAATAGGGTCTGCAGGGCAGCACAGAGCATAAACAGAGCCCACGGTGACTTGGGAGATCAAAGAGAGGGCACAGCTCTGTTAACACACGTCCACAGTCAAACCACAGGGACAGGACTGCACCTACTCAGAATGGGAAAATGCTTCTGCCTGGACAGGAAGAGCCCAGGAGAGGCAGCACTAGAATGAGCAGGCAACCCCTACCCTAAGCAGAAACTATTAGGTCCTAAGACCCAGAATTCTAGTTACTGAGGTGCAGTCCCTAAACAGCTGAAACGGCCCTTCACGAGTAAGTTCCTTCTCTTTAATCAAACACTCACAGCATCATCTGATACTGACAGGTAAGCAGATAAACGTTACTGAAAATGTGGCATGCTGTATATAGTTCACTACCAAGCAAGTACAGCTCACCCCAAGTAAGATTCTGGCTTGTTCAACTTCAGTTCACACAAGCCAGTTTCATGAACCTGATCGACAACCCCAGGATGGACCCTTTTGTGTGAAGGCTCCCCCATCGCCCACTCCTGGGTCCTGAAAGTCCAAGCTGTGCTGGCTAACTCCAGATCTTGTGTTGCTGGGGGCTATTACCTGAACCACTCCAGGAATGACCTCTTCTCTCCCCCTACTCACCGTAGTGCTTTTCCCAGATCAGAATGAGAGCAGTGAAGCCGATGAAAAACATGGCGGCACCCACAACTGTCTTCCACTCATTCGTGCTCCTGTTCATCTCAGCAAAGCTCTCGTTGAACTTAATGCGATACACTGAGAGCAGAAAAAATGGCCGTTTGCAGGCGTAACGAGCTACAAGGACCAACTGCTCCCTCAACACCATGCTTTACCACTTATCCTCACTACATAGCAAGAAATACACATGGAGAAATACAACAGAGAGGCCTGAGGCCGTAACATGCTCATGCACGTGCACACACAAGCTCTCACACATGCACACAAGGGGCAAAGGAAGAGAAAAATGCAAGGAGTTTGCTTGGGGTAAATAAAAAAATAAGGAAATTAAAAAACTGAAATTCTCCCATAGGTTACAGTGTAAGGGGCAATTTAATCCCACTATTTTCATTCCCCTTGCCTACCTATCTTTCATTGACCTTCCATCAATAATTGACAGTAAACCCAGCCCCACCCAGCAGAGGCATGGAGACACCACATCCACATGCCACACACTGGAATGACATGCACTCAGCTGCTCTGCGTCCCTGTTCATGCCTCTCCCTGGGGGCGGGGGCCCCAGGAGCACAAAGGAGCCTGGGCAGAGTTCCAGCCAGCCAGCCAGGCGCCGAAACTGTACCCTGGGGCAGCCCCGCAGAAACACGCCACGCCGAGGGCAGGCTGGTCTCTGGGCAGCACCCCAGCCTTCATCATAAAAATTCCCTCTCACGCTGTGTGCCTGACTTCCCTCCGATACCCACATTCAACTTTTTCATCAATCGACAGACTGCTCCAGGGGTTCTTCTCCTTCTCTTTCAAAGCCTTCTGGCTGGCAGAGAGGTTCTTGACATGGGCCACATCAGGTAAGGGGTAGTCACGCCGATCGATGTAACTCGGGAGAGCAAAGTCCTCACTCTTCACGACACCCCCTAAAAGACACAGTGGAAAATATTTCAAAATTCACAAAGGTTTAGAGTCACAAACAAGGTGGTATTTCTAAAATCCTAAATAAGCACATGTGTGCACACTCTGAAAGCCTGTCATCCCAGGGGCTGCAGCTACTGTTTCAAACAGCTGAAGGACTATCACGTGGCACAGGAAGCAGGCCTGTCCTGTGTGGCCCAGACAGCAGAATGAGAACGGCAGGTAGATAGTTAACAGTAGCAGTTTTCATCACAGCAAAACAGAAACCCACCAGGAGGAACTGCTCAGAGGCAGCACTTCTTGCAACCAACAGTATTCGTGCAGAGGTCAGACAAAGGCTCTCAGGGTTCCCTGCCCTGGATGGAGACTTAACTAATGAACGCCCTTCTGCAAGTGACTCAAATTAATGATTCTTCCAAATAAAAATATAAAACTCATAAAGAAGTGTTCAAAGTTGAGAAACAAAGATACATGAGAAGATGATTACGGCAGCACTTTTATTATGGCCAAAAAACAACTACCCTGTGTCCAACAGAGGATGGAATTAGCCAGGCTAGCTCCTAAGAAACGAGTATCATGGAACCATTCATTCATCTGTTCGACAAATGTTTACTGACCACCTGCTATATGCTAAGCATGGTTCTAGACATCTGAGATCATCAATGAACAAAGCAAAGTTTCCCACCTACTGGTGACTACATGCTAAAAGTGGGAAACAAACATGACAATCACAGAGCACGTTAGGAAATGAGTACTCGGAAAAAGAACACATAGAGGAAGGGAATCGGAGAGATACACGCATGGCAGGAACGACTTACAGCAGTAGAAAGCAGAGCCACGCATTCAAAATGGAGAATCAATCGTGTGTTCACTGAGTCACAGAACAATATCAGAGTTGCTGTGTTTTTCTTTTTAAAAGTGTAAATCGTGTATACATGCTCACATTTATAAACTAAAGACAGAAAAGTCCTGTCAGAGTAATCTGAAGTTGTTATAAGCAGAAGAGGAGAGGATGAAATGGAAATTTCTGCTCAAATAGGCAGAAATTCTAGTTCCTTTGAATGAACTATATTTACTCAAGCAAATGAATAATTTATTCATATACAAATGAAGTATATTACTCAAGTAAATGAACATGTATCACTCAAGTAAAGAAGAAAAAAATTCAGACAGCAGAAAAGAAAGGAGTATTTTAATGAAGTCCTTGAAAAATTCTTTCCTCCCATTAGCTTAGTCCCAATGGTTAAAATCTCCCAAATCATGTTAACAGTGAAGTAAAACATTCAGCCTAATGCAAAATATAGTTTCTCTAGACACTTATCTTTGCCATGCAAATAACTACCAATTAAATATTTATACCCAACCTTAACCTAAAAGGATCTGATATAAAAATGGCTAGAGTTACTTTGCATTTTCAGAATTCTAAGGTTCTATTAAAATGATGAGTGAACTAAAAATAATGGTTGTATACCAGCACCCAGCTTACACATGAATTATGTGAAGCCCTGACCAGTGGGGCTCAGCTGGTTGGGTGTCATACAGCAAAGCGTAAGGTTGCCAGTTTGATTCCTGGTCAGGACACACGCCTGGGTTGTAGGTTTGGTCCCCAGTCAGGGCACATGTGAGAGGCAACTGATTGTTTCCCTCTTACATCAATTATTTCTCTCCCTCTCTTTCTCTCTCCCTTCCCCTCTCTGTAAAAATAAATGAATACCCCTGGCTGGTGTGGCTGGGTGGATTGAGCTCCAGCCTGTGAACTAAACAGTCACTGATTTGATTCCCAGTCAGGGCACATGCCTGGGTTGCAGGCCAGGTCCCCAGTAGGAGGCACATGAAAGGCAACCACACATTAATGTTTCTCTCCCTTTCGTTCTTCCTTCTCCTCTCTCTAAAAATAAGTAGTATCTTTTTTAAAATTTTTAAATGATTAAAATCTTAAAATATGTGTGTGTATGCCTAGTGACATCACAGCCTGACACTGTTGCACAACGCACTACACATTACATATGTGTTTGTGTGGACACTGCCATGAACAAACCTACTGTGCTGCCAATCATGTAAGAGTATAGCCTGGGTAATACTTTACAATAAATGACTATATAGCTGGTTTGCGTACTTACTGTATTGTACTTTAAAATGTACTCTTCCTACTTACAAGTCTGTAAAACAGTATGCCAGCTATTTTACAGGGCAAAACGGTGTGCCCTGGCCTCTGCAGTTCGGTTGGAGCATCATCCCATAGAGCAGAAGGTCATGGGTTCAATTCTCAGTCATGGCACATACCCAAGATGCAGGTTTGATCCCCAGTGAGAACACATGTGAGAAGGCAACCAACTGACTGCCTTCCCCTCTCTCTCCGTCCCTCCCATCCCTCCTCCCTCTCTCTCACTCAAAAAAAGCAATGAAAAAAATGCCCTCCAGTTAAGATAAAAAAAGAAACAGAAACACTGGCAGCAGCCTCATACACCCCGTGTTCACCTCTCTCGATTACATCACTTTGTCTTGTGCTGGATCTAATCTCATGTTGCTTTGTTCAGCGACATGCTGCACAGGTTTGTAGCCTAGGAGCAACAGGCTATACCATAGCGCCTTGGTGTGTAGTAGGCTATCCCATCTAGGTTTGTAAAGTCAGACCCATTTGCCAGAACGTGTCCCAGTAGTTAAGGAGAGCATTACTGTAAATGCTCATAACTGTGAAGCACTCTAAGCATAAAACTGCATTTTCCAGAACAAGAACAGCCAATTTGTGATCTCAGGGCTGCTAGAGGTTCTTCAGCACTTTGGGCCTGGTCCCCCAGCAAATGGAGGGGAGTGGGGAGCAAAGGTTAACACACCATGCATTCCTTCTAAAAAAGAAAGAAACAGCCAAGATTTTGCATTCTAGTGAATGCTTTGTCATTTCTGTCTTCAGCCTGAATGGAATTAAGGCTGAGCCTCTACTGAGAAAATCGGCTGATTCTGAGCTCCCCTCGCAATCAGATCTGTCACTGCGAAAATACCCAAATCGACAACAGCAGCTACCAATGGCACTCTGTACTGTGCTACTATTTTATGTAACTGTTCATGTATCAAGTATACAATTAAAAGTTAAAAATTAAAGAAGACTTATCTAATGGACTATAGTCTCCTCCATCTGCCTACTGTGTGCTAAAGATGCAGCAATGAGTAAGACAGGAAAGGTCGCCGGTCTCACAAAGCTCACACTCTAGAGGCAGAGATAGATAACACTCAAACATGTACACAAACCCGCAGAGCATCGGTGCTCTAAGGAGAAACAAAGCAGGGTGATGCAGGATGGAGCATCTTTAGGACGGGTGGTCAGGAAAGGCAATTCCAAAATAACATTTCTACTGCAGAAGATGATGAGAGAAAAGCAACCATCCACAACTTAGGAGCTAAGGCAGGAGGGACCAGCCCAATGTGTGTGCACAAGGGACAAAACACTGTACCAGTGGAGGCCAGGGCCTCGAACAAACAGGCAGGGCTGGCTGGGCTGTTCGCTTGAGTATGATGTGATGAGATCAGAAGGGCCAGCCTCAGATCTTGCTCTAGGCATGACTAGGCACTAGAGGGTTTCAAGAAGGGGCTGATTTGATGTTACTTCCTCACCAAAAACAATACCTAAGAGTAAGTCACGGCCAGCACCACTACAAAAAGACAGAAGATGGCTTCTTATAAGAGAGCAGAATGATCAAAGGGGCATGAAGGAACTTAGGGGCTGGTGCGGATGCTGTACGTTTGGACCGGAGTCGTCGTTACATACTGTGAGTTTATCTAAATCCACAGAACACTACACCTAGGAAAGGTAATTTTACTTTTCATAAATTATACCTCAAACAAACTAGATGAACAAAACACTATCAGAAAACCAAAATGGAAACAAAATGCGATCTCTGTCATAAATGACCTCCTAGACTTTTAATGAAAGTGTATGTATGAAACAATAAATTTTTCTTTATTACTTACTTGTTTAAATAACAAACATTTCAACAACACTCTGACTACAATGATCTGTCTTAGAGTCTGTATCCATATGTTATCCTGGGCAATTACAGAGTATGTAAGACAATAGTATCACTAACTAAAGGACACAATTTGTCAAGGACAAATTCACATATAAAGCAGTTAACAGAAATTACTGATTATGGAGCCCCTAAATACATAAACCTTGCTCCCCAAGTTCATCATCCACCACTCAAGCCTTGCATTTGACCCCTCAGTAACACACCCTGCCATGCTGATTTGCATTTTGTCCTTTTGCTTCCTTTCCCTCGGCCTGAAATGCCATTTCCCTCTTGAATGTGAGGTTTAACATGCTCGCATTCAAGCAAAGCCAAGCCTCTCCCCCAGAAGCACCCCAAGCCAGGCTAAGTGCTTCTCCTTAGGGGCCATCTGTTACTGAGCCATTTTCTTCATGTATCTGTCTCTCTCCGAATTGCAAATCTTCTTGTGGAAAGACTCCACGTTTCATATTGTTTTTTTTTTTCTCTCAGAGCTTGGCAGTGTCTGCTACAAAGTAGTTGCTCGATAAGTGCAAAACTAAAATTGCTTGCCAAGCACTGAACTAAGCTCTTTACAAGTATTTCAGGTAAGAAAACAGATTCCTAAACTTAAGTACCTAGTCCAAAACTAAAATGGGGTTCAACCCAGCTCAGGTTAGGAAGCGTAGGCTCTTTTCCTTCCACTGTCCCAATAATGTAAACAGTACTAAAGGTAAATGGTTGGAGGTTTTTCTGGAGGGGAAGGACATTATTAAAATCAGGTACAGTGGAGAAGAGTTCTTGAAAGGGGTAGAACCCAAACTTCAAAAAAAATGGAAGAGAAAGGAAAAAGGAGAAAATATTAATATAAGCAAAGATCCAGGACTAGAATTCAATGGTTCATAAATAGTCTTTAATCTAGAATTAAGTGTCCCCTATTAAAATATTTATCCCTCCCCTAAAATGCCTCAGCAGCAGGATCAGAATCTTAGTCATCTGTGTTTGACCCTCCAGCACAGGGCCTTACACATAGCAGGAGCAAAATGAAATAGCTCAGCCTACTTAAAAGTTTAAAAAAAAAAAAAAAGGCAACTCACCGTGTGCTCGTACACACACCGAGGTGGAAATTGCTCGCTTGCCAATTAGGCTAAACACTCTGGTGGTCAACATCCTGAAAGACAGAAATGAACAACTTCTCTAGGAATGAGGGCAAACACCCGTTAGGTACAATTCTTCTTTTCGCCCCGGTGTTATCGTCAAAGTCAATGCAATTCTGTTGTGTTCTCCTCCCCAGCATAAGTGATTCGTTCATTCCTGACTCTGAATTCACAAAATAACCCAGGATAAAATCTCTCATAACAGTTAGCAAGTCTTTATGGAGCTTCATTATAAAACCAAGTACCATAATATATACACACATCAGGCAATTGGTGGAAAATGGAGTTCCTTAAAAAACAAAGAGAAAAAAATTTAATGAGACTGAAAAAGCTAAAAATGGTAAAGCACTGTGGCGCCACGAAGAGCTCCACTGTTTTGAGGGAAAAGGCTCAAGGAATTGTAATATGCGCCTCCAACTTAGTATTTAGGAAGGGTAAATCAGGGGAAAATATCACCCTTGTCCACTTCCAATCCCTGCAGACAACGGGTGACCTGAGTGACCCCACGCCTCACCAGGGCCCTTCTTGATTCAGACCCATCTCCCCTACTTACCTCTCCTCTAAAATTGCGCATTTGCGGGGACTGGAGACAATGAATAGAACCCCCAACACCTTCAGAAAACACCCCAACTGGGGCAGAATAAGCAAACATGACGTCAGAGCAGAACGCTCCACTGTCGCTTGTCTTCTCCCCTAGCCTGCCCCCCGCGCGTGGGCGGCCGCTGGGCACCTTCCAAGGGGGGTAAGCGGAGCGCCTCTACCCGAACCCAGTCAAACCCGAGGACGTCGCGTAGACGTGGTTGGGAAGGGTTCGAGCTCAGGCTGCAACACAGGCCCCAGGGCCGCTCCCGGAAGGCCAGCAAAACGACCTGCCCCTTTTGCCCGTGCCCAAGCCCTCGGCTAGCGGACGCTCCAAGGTCAGAGCTCATTCCTTGCCGGCGGGCAGGGCAGAACGAGTCGGGTCAGACGTTTCTGCACCGCACAACGGCCTGGAATCAGTGGGCCCTGAGTCCGGAGCCCCCACGGACCGGTCTCAATGTCAACGGGTCCGAAAGCCAAATGCCGCTTCCTGCTACTCCCGGGCTGCCCGGCCTCCGGCACTCAGACCCGCTGGTTTCCAGCCCCCGACACTCCCCGGCCTCCCAGGGCCGCGGGACAGCCGTCGCTCGCCTCACCTGCCGCCGCCGCCGCCCAGCTGCAGCCCCCGGTACCCGCCGCGACCGCCCTCTACGCCGTGTCTGCTCGCGACCGGAAAAGAGAGGCTGCGCCGCGGAGCACCACGGGATCGCGGAGGAATCCACCGCGCGCGCCACCACGCTGGAGGTCATTGGAGAGGAAGGAGGGGAGGGCCGCGAACGTCGTAAAACGCCGGGCTGGGCTGCTTTCCGGCGGGCGCTGTGGGACCGCTTTCCTGCGGCGCCCGGCGAGTTGCAGGAGTAGAATCTGAGGCGCGCGTGTCGACTTCCTCGAGCTGGAGTCGGTGTAGAAGGAACCAGACCTAAGCGAGTGTCGGCCTGTGGGTGCCTCCGCTAAGTTGCGGAGCCGGTCCAAGCAGCTTCCGCCGTGTCCCACTTCAACGCTTAGGCGCCGCGCGGCCGGGCAGCGGATCTAGGCCTCGGCCAGCGCCCGGGGCCTCCGGGGCCCTCCCGGGCTCAGCATGCCCGGGGTGAAGCTGACCACCCAGGCCTACTGCAAGATGGTGCTTCATGGAGCAAAGTACCCCCACTGCGCTGTCAATGGACTGCTGGTGGCTGAGAAGCAGAAGCCGCGCAAGGACCACCTGCCCCTGAGCGGCCCAGGCGCCCACCACACACTCTTCGTGGACTGTATTCCACTGTTCCACGGCACCCTGGCCCTCGCCCCCATGCTGGAAGTGGCCCTTACCCTGGTAAGCGTGGGAACGGCTTCTGGCCGCCCCTTGGAGATCGGCTTGCAATCGGCTTCCACGCAGTCCCAGCTGGAAGCTGACAGGTGCCGGCGGGAGTCTAGAACCCACCCTCCGAGGTCGCGTTGACGGTGAACGGAATGACCCACGAGAGCACATGGATCTTTGCCCTTAGGGAGCGCCCCGCAGATGACAGCTCATAATAGCAGCGGCCCAAAGAGCCACTTTTACCATCATGGGTGTTTTTAAAGGCGCTTTAGGCGACGAATAATCCATTAATTGCCTCAAACCTTTATAGAAACAAGCTATCGTTAACTGAGTAATGATTGGAAGGCGTTTACATTTGGGATTTTGAGTCGCGGGAAGTTTTGATGCTTTGAAACCTAAACGCTGGAATTTGGTTCGTGAGCACGTTCACTGAGTCGGTTCCTTATCTGATGTGAGCGTAAGCGCTGTGGTCCTTTTGGTGGTGGCAGTCTGGGATCCCAGAGTTGGGACACGTCTGGGACAACGTCTATGACGTTGACGGCACAAGCACTGCTGTCCTTGAGTTGTGTGAACCAAGTGTAAGGAGAATTAATGTGTTCCCATTAGTAACTTATCTAGCATGCTGCAGTGATTTTAAAAGCTTAGGACTTTGTGAAATCAAAAAGCGGGAACAGTGGTGCCTTCTACCCACCACGCTTTTATGTGTGTACTTGGCAGTGACTGCTTTATTGAAGCACAATGGGGAAGAGTAAGGTCACCAGTAAGCTGGATGGTAATTGAATTCTAGGCAGTAATTTTTGAGATAATGATCAATGAAGGCTATAAACACTTAAGGATAAACAATGACTAAAAACATTTAATTCATGCAAAAAGTAGTTAAGTTTGAGAAGGTGTAGGTAGGAGTCCTATCTTTATGTCCCACCAAGTAAAATGAATCCATTTCATAATTTACCTGATTGTGACACCCATGTAAATTCTTGGTATGCAAGAAGTACCTTTGGGCAAATGGTCCTGGTCCAAGGTTACTCGGCACATGTTTCAGTGCCTGTTAAATTGAGTCATGGTGTGAATTTCTTCATGTCATCTCTGGGCAGGAGATGGATAGAAAATGGGTGATGTTTATAAAATCAGCCATTTTAGCCTTTGAAGAAATGTACCATCAGTACCAAAACATCACGGGGGCATCTTTTCAACCAACCATCTTAATTACTCTGTTATCAAGAGGATTGCAGGCTAATTGGATGTGTAGTACATTCACTTTGCAGGGAACTAGATTTACCAGTAGCGTTAATGCAGGATTATTTATTTCTCCACTAGTGCCAGGCCTGTGGTGGAGAGCTGTATCTGTGGATCAAGCACAGTACCTGCTTAGCAGTTGGATTTGTGCCAAGCAGACAAGCACAGTACTAAAGAATAAGTGTCATATGTGGGGTTAAGCAGAAAATGGTGAGGGATCCAAGAGAAAAGTCAGCTCACCCAGGCGTACAGAATTAGGGAAGCCATACTGCCCAGAGAAAGGGACACGCAAATACTGGCCGTATGGGCCAGCCATAGTAACCCAGGGCATAGAGAACATTCAAGGCAGAGGGACCAGCACATGCAAAGACCAAGCGAAAGCTGGGGATGGAGGAAGAGCTAGAATGTAAAGGGGCCAGGGATAGAAAGGTGAAAGGTGGACAGATACCATTGTAGAGGACCTTGCAGATCACACAGCTGAGTTTGTTTGGTCACCATCAAGAGGACAGAGGGAAGCCACTGGAAGAGAGTTGCTTGGTCAGACTTGTGTCTTGGAATGATGGTTCTAGCCTGTAGCCAAGAGGATGTTAGAGACAGGAGTGCATGCAGGACGAGATACAGAGAGGTGGCCTAGACTGAGAGCATTGCGAATGCAGAAAAGGATCAGGGGAGCCAGGAGGAAGAATCCACAGGACTTGGTGACTAATCAAATGTGGACGTAGGGAAAAGGAAACAAGGGGGAATCCTCAGTTTCTGAGATGCATTGGGAGGACAGTGGTGCCTTTATCAAGGAAAAGTGAAGACAACCTAGTGTTGAAGGTTGAAATGCATCTGGAGCTCAGAAAATGGATGGGCTGGAGACGTAGATTGGGAACCAGTAGCTTCTCAATGATCTTTGAGGTCATGAGAGCAAGTCATATTGGCCAGGACTGTGTGGAATGAGGAGAGAGCCATGAGCCACAGCCTAAAGAACTGTAGCTTTTACAGAGTGGGAAGAAGAAGAGTCTGCAGGGTAACTGAGTAGCCTGAGGTAGGAGGAAAAGGAGTGTTGCTTTAGGTCCATATACAGTCGTGTTAGAAATACATGGGTAGCCCTGGATGGTATAGCTCAGTGGATTGAACTCAGGCCTGCAAACCAAACAACCATGGTTCGGTTCCCCGTCAGGGCACATGCCTGGGTTGCAGGCCATTTCCCAGCGGGGGGCGCATAAAGGGCAGCCAGGCATTGATGTTTCTCTCCCTCTCTCCTTCCCTTCCCCTCTAAAGATAAATAAATAAAATCTTTAAAAAAAAAAAAGAAATACATGGGTAAAGACAAACTTGAACTGCACTTAGAATTGTAAAAACATTGCCGCTTCTTCTCAGTCTTAGGTAACCTTTACAGGGTTAATGAATTCTGTTCCTGTTACAAGATAGGAGTGCAATACTTGAGAAATTAAATACACTAACTATAAACAACAGCATTTGAGTCACCTTTACCTGAATTTTCCCCATGGAGCAGGGCTGCTTCCCAAACCACTTACCTGGGGAGGGAAGAGGCCCAGAGGAGACCTTGACTCTTAGATGGGCCCATTGGCACCAGCTAGTTAAGAGGGAAAGGGCACTGCGGAGGCCCTGTTCTCATCTTTCTCATCCTGGGTCATTACAATCCATTCCAGACTCTCAGCTTCCCCCTTCATTGTTGGAGTCTCCCATCCAGCAAACACAAGTCCAAACTGGAGCCTCTGCAATAACTTCTCTTCAGCAACTTTCTGACTAAAGTTATAAAGGAAAATTTGCAATCTGAGTCCATCCAAAAATTTTGTATTACAGCCATGGTATTTAAGTTTATATCATTCAGTTTTTGACTTAGCAACTTTATAACCTGAAGGCAGTGAAAGATTGGAAGTGGAAGAAGCCATAGTATATCAGTGTATCCGTTGTGGACGATGTGATTTTAGTCCATGAAACTGTATAAATGAGGCCTTATTCTCATGGCTTTTTTTCTATTTAGGGAGTTTCGTATTGTAATTATTTTTGACAAGTGGGAAAGGCAGAATTGATATGTAGCCTATCAAAGGGCAACATTAGATTCCTTTGAAAAGCGCTTTTTAATTTAAGATTTTACTTATTTACTTCTTAGGAAGGAAGGGAGAAAGAGAGGAAGAGAAATATCAGTGAGTGAGAGATACATCAATCAGTTGCCTTTCTAATGCCCCCAATCAGGGAACCTTGCCTGCAACCCAGGCATGTGCCCTGACTGGGAATCAAACCTGTGACCTTTTGGTTCGCAGACTGGCACCATATCCACTGAGCCACACCAGGCAGTGCCCTTTGAAAGGCTTTTCATTATAATTTTCCATTTTAAAAAAATCCTTGCATTTCTGGGTGCTTTTTATTTATTTTTTTTAAGTACTTACGCCTGTTATCTTACTTATCATTATAACCCTTTGACGTAGGTAGTCATGGAATTATTTCTGATAGCAAAAAACCAATTAGCAGAAACCTGCCGTTTCTCTAAGCCTTTTACGTCCCTTCCCCTCTTTGATTTTTTAGGACAGTGGAACAGCTTTTGGTTACATTCTGCTCAGATGACTTTCTTATTTGCCAGTCGGCGTAATCATTGAGATTTTGGTCCAGAGTTCTGTCTGCTGCCCCCACGTGCGCCTTCTCTGTGCTCATTTGCAGGGCCTGCTCTCCGCTGGCCCTTTTCTAAGCCCGCTTTTCTCTTCTGCCCCTTGTTTATCTCCAGGACATTCAAGTGCTAGCCTGGGAGAGGGAGATGGCTGCTCTGGGTCTTCCTTTCAGTTCCTCCTTTTGACTTTCCCCTCTGTCCCCGTCTCATTTACCTCCAGAGCTCTTCTTTTATGCGTCCAGCTCCTTTCCATTCAATTGAAAACTCAGCATCCCACTTGAGAAGGAACTTTTCTTCTCAGTGAAATGAACAACCCCTCTCCTTTTAGCCTCCAAGGCCTGCTTATGGCCATAGACAACCTCAACTTGTCAGTGGTCAGCCCTCCTCGGGACGGCTCTCTTATCAGTTCCCTGCCTTGCCTACATTATGGCTATTGTATAGTCACTTGAGATGGGTGGTAGCGCTTTGAAAATTGTGAGGTGTCTCACATATGCAAATGTTAGCAAGTTTGCCGAGAAGCTACTTTCTTTGTGCTGTGTCTTATTGGAAATGGACGGGTTGGACCCAGCACTTTTAGTAGTTCTAGTGTCTGGACTGGAATGAGCCAAAAAATGCATCGAATATACAGGGTGGCAGGCTGATCACAAGGTAAAAGTGTCCTTCTTTCTCTCTGAAAGTAAAAGAAACTGCATGAATAAATGCAGAATTGGGACTCTTGTATGCAGTTTTACTAAGTTGACATGACGTTTTAAAGCATTATTATGGACTTTTTGATTTTCATTTTGATTGTTCACAGAATGTGTGAGAGGAGTAGGGAATCATAGCAGCAAGGCACAGGGAAATGTGCTCACGGAGAAGAGAGGTCAGGCAGCAGCTTCTCTGGTCTTTGCCCTGCCCTGCCCGACTTGGGAAGAACGAGTTGCTGTTACGGAGCAAGCAACTGCTTAAGCCCACTAGGATTTTTATTAATGAGCTGTTGGGCCTACTGGATGGTTCTGAAGGTTGTGCCTGCCCCATTCCCACCCAGCCCCATCCCCATCCCCACTGCCCATCTTCCACACACTGACTTTTACTTCATACCAGGTCACTCTCACCTAATAATGTCTGGTACCATCTCAAGGCTATCAAAGAAAACTCTTCCCTTATTGAAACTTGTGTGCCCTACCTCTGGGGGCTCCGATGCTGGCAGGGAGGCCTTAGTGCATTCTGAGTTCCTCACTTCCATGTTCTCTATTCCTCAGTTGCTAGCCAGTGGTGTCTATATCTGGACAGCTATGGGCAGGCTACCCATGCCCTTCATAGGCAACCTTACGGTTAACGTGGTTATTCTTGCTTGAATCATTCATGTTTCTAAAATCAAGCCAGAGCTTTGTGACCTGATTCACTTTTAGGGTATCCACTTCAGAGAGTTCTGCTAGAAGTTCGTGGTCACGCAGGACATTATTTTTATGCTGGAATTTGATTAGACCCTTGAAATTTTTCACACAGGAATTTGCTCTTATCAGGTAAAGTGCAAGTCAAGGTGTGTAACATGTTTGCTGAGGAACCCGGTACCCCTGTTTTCAGCCCAGAAAAGGGATCTGGGAGCTGCTTAGACTGCTCGCTGTGGTATCCTTATATTAAATGTAGCAGTGATCAGCCAAAAAATAGCCCCTCAAAATGTTCACGTCCTAATCCCTGGAACCCATGACATGTTACCTTACATGGCAAAAGGGGCTTGGCAGATGAGATTAAGTTAAGGGTTTTGAGGTGGGGAGATTATCCTGGATCACCTAATGGACCCAGTGTAAGGTCTTTATAAGAGAGAAGCAGAGCCCTGACTGAGGTGGCTCAGTGGGTTGGGTGTCATCCTGCAAAGCAAAAGGTCACCAGTTCAATTCCCCATCAGGGCACAGGCCTGGGTTGGAGACCAGGTCCCTGGTTGAGGGCATGTGAGAAGCACCTGATCAATGTTCCATTCCCTCTCTTTGTCTTTCCCTTCCCTTCTCTCTGAAAATAAATAAATAAATAATTCTTTTTAAAAAGAGAGAAGCAGCCCTGGCTGGTGTAGCTCAGTGGACTGAGCGTGGGCCTGTGAACCAGAGAATCACATTTCAATTCCCAGTCAGGGCACATGCCTGGGTTGCAGGCCAGTTCCCAGCAGGGGACCCATGAGAGGCAACCATACATTGATATTCTCTCCCTCTCTCCTTCCTTTCCCCCTCTAAAGATAAATAAATAAAATCTTTTAAAAAAAGAATAAAAGAGAGAAGGAAGCAGAAGTTCACACCGAGTCAAAGATGTGATGATGGAAGCAGAGGTCACAGTGATGCAGCCACTAGCTAAGGAACGTGGATGACCTTCAGATGCTGGAAAAGGCAAGGATAGGATTCTCCCCCAGAACTTTCAGAAGGAATCAGTCCTGCTGACCCATTGTAGGCTTCAGACCTCTAACACAATACATTTGTGTCATGTTAAGCCACTAAGTTTGTATAACTTGTTACAAGGGCAGTAGGAAACTAAGACAGTAGCCAAACTTGGGACACATTTCTAGTTCTGAGTCAGATATAAGAACAACCCATGTAGCAGAGGGCAGGGAGAGGAACACCAAGTGGGTGGAGATGAGGGTCGCCCTGAATGAAGACGCACTCAAGAGGTTGGTCTTTACATAAAAAGGCTGGAGGGCCACACTAAAGGGGAGACAAATCTCTGGGTGTGGGGAATGGGGCCAAAGATCACATTTTAAAGCTAGGCAGTACCTTTTGGTACTACATGGAGGTAAGTTTAAAAATGAAGGAAATGGCTCCTATAAGCAGAAATAGAAAGCTTCTAGAACCTGTTCCTTTAAGAGGTGACAAACAAAATCAGTAATTTTGGAGTCATTTGCAGCAAAGTTAACAGCGAAAGAGCCATTATAAATATTTTGGAGACATAGCCCTAATCTTTTGGGTGGATGACCAAAACATCTAATTGGTTCAACATCTAATTGGAGCCTTGGTTTTTGACCCAATATGGTAATTTGTGAGCTCTTAGGAGGCCAGAATTATTCTAATCTTTATGAGAGCCAGGGAACCTTGAACTGTAACCATCTTGTAATACCTGCTTTTAGTCATAAAGGAGACTGTCTGAGGTCCAAACCTGAATTCAAGACAAAACCATAGAGCTATATTAAACAAACAGACAAAAAAAGAAATACATTTTTAACCAGTTAATTCACTGTGAAAAAAGCGAGGATCAATTTTTTTCCCTCTTCTGCAGACTGAGGATAGAATTTATTGCAGTGTATTATTAAAACTCCATTATGGCAAAACAGTTAAGATGACCTTTTGTTTTTAACAATGGCAATAGACCCGCAGGAAGCTAAATCTGATGAGAAAGGGGTGGCATTATAAAACAGACAGAAAAACTTTCAAAGTCAGTGAGGGGGCATTCCTGTCTATATTTGCCCACCTATGTGTGTGCCTGCATAGGTTTATACTGCATCCCAGTGTGAAGGGCTTTTCATGGCATGTTGGCTAGAAATGTTATACTGAAATTTATGTTATACCGAAATTTATGTTATACTGAAATTTAGTATAAAAGGGTTTATTTTCAAAAGAGGCTTAGATTCCCATCGGGCTCTGCTACATGGCTGTTCAGACTTTGAACCTCTGAGCTTTAGTCTGCTTATCTGTGAACGGTTGATTTAAATGATCTTAAGTATTTTTCAAGCCCCAGAATACCTTAGTTTTTCATATTATAAGGTGGGTAAAGATGGGCCCACCTCTCCACAGTGCTACACCTGCTTAATATGTCTCAACATTGGGGCCTTCTGCAGGGACTTGGCAAGGAGGTCACTCCCCATGGCCCCACCCCTTCTGGCAATTACAGAGTCCTCATCTACAGGAAGACACACACACACACACACACACAAAACACCCCCCACCCCCGCTGGCCACAGTGAGAGTGAGGAGACCGTGGAAAGCAAGTTGGTGTGACATTTTTTCTGTGGTCACCTATGTCATTATTGTAGCCCTTCTGGGAAGAAAGGTACAGGTTCATATGGTGTGTTGTCTCAGCATTGGGGAGGGAGGGGTCTCCTGTGTTTATTAAGACTCGATATTTAAGGGAAAAGCATTTATCTTTTCTTCCCAATTTTTGTTTCTCTTTCAGATTGATTCATGGTGCAAAGATAATAGCTATGTGATTGCTGGTTATTATCAAGCAAATGAACGAGTAAAGGATGCCAGGTACGTCCATGCAGAAACCCTGGTCTGAGAGGAGGGTCACGTGGTAGACAGAGACGTCTCCAACGGGCGTTTTGACCTCTCGGAGATGTGGAGTCTGAGAGAACAAAACCCTTCCCCGCCCTCTGTGCTTGTTTATAGTATTTGAGGGGAACTGTGGGGTGGGTAGTTCCAAACAACAGAAAGTCTAAACATTTATGTTAACTTTTGGATTCTGTTTTGTATCTCCTTTATTTTGCTTAAAGAAAATTCATGCAATGATAGCAGTGGCCATGGGCCTCCAACTTCTGTCCCCAGTGAGCTCATCTGCCTCACTTCCCATTCCCAAACTACGAATGATGCAGGCCAGAGCATTGGGGGGAAATACCACTCTCTTTTGGCTTAAATGAAACAACTTCAAGTTTGGTGCTGCCAAGGGTCTGATATAGTATGATGAAAATGTGGTATGTGCTGCTTCCTTCATGTTGCCTCCTGGTTCCTTTCTAATTAATGAGTAAAGCGGAGAACTCTGCTTTATTTCTGCCTCAGTCTCGGTCCAACAGAAAAACAGATGACATGCTAAAGTTAGGATAATTTGAGGAGGACTTAATAGGCAGATTATTTCCATAGGTGCGGGAGGTATGTAAGAGACCTCAGAGAGCAGTACAGTAACCTAAAGCTGGTGACAAACGCCAGTAGATACATAAACTGCCAGCCACAGAAACAGTCACAGGGACGTAAAGTGCAGCAGAGGGAATGTACTCAATACTTTTATATCTGTAGTGTCAGCTGGGTAGTTGACTTATGGGCTGATCACTTCATAAGTTTCCCCTGTATTCGGACTGTAAGATGTACTTTTTTTTTTTAAGCCACTTTTTTTTTGCTTCAAAAATTTCCCCCCTATTTTCCTCCTCTAAAACCTAGGAGCAGCTTATGGTGTGGACCACAGATGTACCTAGATTTTAGAGGAGGAAAATAGGGGGGAAATTTTTGAAGCAAAAAATGTGGTTTAAAAAAATGTCCCTATAGTCTGAAAAATACAGTATATAAATGTCCAATTACTATGTTATACACCTGAATCTAATCTAATATTGTATGTCAATGGGAATAAAAAATAAAATTTTTTAAGAAAATAGAAGTCATCCTCAAGAGGAGCAATTCCCTTTGGTGGAGGGCCGTGGTTGGTTACCAGCCTGATGTGACCTCACAAGGAGAGGCCAAGAGGAACCACACCCTGACCTCCTGACCTTCTTCAGCCAGGAGCAGATGGGAAGCCAGGACACAGTGTGCTCAGTATGTGATGGGAGGCACTGACACACTGGCCTCACACTGACTGACTCCAGGGTCCAGGCATTAGGAGATGCAGTGAAGGACCTCAGACCTACACTGCTGGAATTCTGTCCTCTTGGCCAGCATGGGCAAGAGGTTGGACTCAATCACATTTTTGGAAGTAATACAATAAGCTGGTGACCAAGTACTGCTATCACTGATGAGACACAAAAGCACTTCAGGGATTAAAAACCCTCTTACCCTCAGAGGACTGGGTCCAGTAGGGACTCTGAGGGAGGTGGAGTAATGAGTGAAACTCTGGGCTCAAAACAATCCCTGTTGAAGCCTCTGCTGGGATGACAGCACACAGGCACTCTCTGAGCCCCAGTTCCCTGGCTCTGCCTCCGAATTTCATCCACCCTCCCATGTGCTGGTGCTGTGTGCTAGGTTGGGAGTAAGGCTGGCATCCCTAACACTGCACCTGGCCTGGGGCTTCATTGCCATTGCTCTGTCTGACCCTCACAAGGATGCTCAGGTAAAGAAACTCCAGCCAGAGGCAGACCCTGCACAAAGGCCACACAGCTTGGAAGCTCAGGAGCTGGGACATGCCAGCTTCCTTCTTCAGTACTATTTGCTTGTACCTAAAAATCTCTCCTCTCTTCAGCCAGACCTAGCTAACAGTGTGCTCTTTTAGAAATGCCAGCTAATTAACAGTGTCTACAGCTTAAGCTTTGGAGCCAGGTAGACTTAGTTTCAAGTTCCAGGTGACTTACTGATTCACCTCCTTGGCCTCAGTGGTCCTATCTGTAAAATGGAGTTAGAAGTTCACAGCTTAGAGTGGTTGTGAGGATAGGGTGAATCAACAAGCAGCGTTTTAGCTTTGTGCTTAATTCAAAGTAGGAGCTGGTACAATTACTAGTCCTGTGAATACTTTTTTCAGAGGAGAACCATTCATTGTCTTAACATTAAAAAGGAAATATAGAGTGTTTATAACTATTTTACTCATTTATTAAACTTGAGGATTTTGCATCCTTTTATTTTATCATATCATAATTAGCATTTCATTTTGGTAAATTTCAGTACCAGGCACTGTGCCCTGGCTTGAGGTAAGATACTCAATAAAAAGCTTTTATTTTTTTTAAAGACTATTTATTTTTAGAAAGAGGGAAAGGGAAGGAGAAAGAGAAGGAGAGAAACATCAATCCGCTGCCTCTTGCGTGCCCCTAACTGGGGTCCCAGACTGCAACTCCGGCACCTGTCTTGACTGGGAATCAAACTGGTGACCTTTCAGTTCACAGGCCAGCACTCAATCCACTGAGCCACACCAGCCAGGGCTAAAAAGCTTTTAGATACAAATTGTAAAAACGAGAGATCTCAGGAGTAAATGCATACATAGCTTTGTGCTGGTTGGGGAGAGGCGTAGCAAAGAGGTCTCTGTCTCCAGAGTCCCTGCAGTCCTATTTGGCTGCTGACTCTGCAGGAACAGGGTTGAAATGGCCTGGCAGACAACCAAGTACTGACTTTAACATCATAATGCAGCAGTTTTACATTAGGAATGAGGTAGGTCAGTATCTGAGACTAAGTGCAAAATACAAGAAAAAGTAAACAAAATTGGCAGTTCTTTCAAATACTTTGGCAGTTATTAACTACAATTTTTTTAAACTTTTTTCAAAAGAATAAATTTTAAATTTGAGTTCTTGAGCATCTGAAATGGTAGGGTTTCTTTTAAATTTGTGAATCTGTCTTTATTGTATTTTTTCCATTACCATTTAGTCCCCTACACACCCCTCTGCACAGTAGTCCCCACACTGTTGTCCATGTCTGTGAGTCCTTTTTCCTTTTTGCTCAATCCCTCCATTCCCTAGTCTCCCCCCACCACCAGCTGTCATCTGCTCTCCATCTGTGAGTCTGTCCCCATATTCCTTGTTAGTTCAGTTTGTTCATTACATTCCACATATGAGTGAAATCATACGGTACTTGTCTTTCTCTAACTGGCTTATTTCACTTAGCGTAATGTTCTCCAGGCCCATCCACACTGTCACAAAGAGTAATATTTTCTTCTTTTTTACAGCTGAGTAGGATTCCATTGTGTAAATATCCCATGGTTGTTTTATCCACTTCATCTACTGATGGACACTTAGACTGCTCCCATATATTGGTGACTGTAAATAATGCTACAATGAACATAGAGGTGCTTATGATCTTTCAATAGTAGCTCTTTTTTAAAAAAAATTATGTATTGTTTTTAGACAGGAAGGGAGGGAGAAAGAGAAGGAGAGAAACATCACTGTGTGGTTGCTTCTCACACAGCCCCGCAGCAGGGCCTACAGCTCAGGCATGTGCCCTGACTGGGAATCAAACCAGCGACCCTTTGGTTCTCAGGCCAGTTCTCAATCCACTGAGCTGCAGGTGCCAGGGCATAGTTCTTATTTTTAATGAGTGTTTCTTGACTCCTTTTCCCAATAAAAGTCACCTACTTCTATGATAATTATGAATGTTAGGATAATAGTTTCGTAAGTCTCTTCATAGCATATTCTTACAAGTCCCTAGAGGACTGTGCACTTAGCAAATGCCAATTTCTTTTCCCTTTGCACCTGAGGTGTGAGTCAGGACCAGTGAAGATGCAGAGCAGTCAGGGTGTCTCTTTTCCACGGTTAGTGGACGAGTGTGCAGCCCTCTGTCTGCTCCTCACCATGTCCCCTGAGCCGTGGGAACTTGGCCCTTGTGCACTGAAGCAATGCATTTACTCTGAGAGCTTTCATGCCGACCTGATGAACAAGAATTTCTGGGCCCCCTTTCTCTTTTAAACTTTTTTTTGAGATGGGGGAAGGGAGGGAGAAAGAGAGAGAGAAACATCTATGTGTGAGAGAAATATGGACCATTTGCCTCTCACGTGCCCCCAACTGGGGACCTGAAATTGCCTCCACAAGCCAGGCATGTGCCCCAACCTGGAATTGAACCAGTGACCCTTCAGTTCGCAGGTCTACTCCCAGTCCACTGAGCCACACCAACTAGGGCTTAAACTGTTTCTTATTGTTGTTTTAATTTTTCTTAACATAATACTTATGATCAACATATCACTATAAATTCTCAATTTTGAACATGGAAATAGAATAATTAGATAAAATCATTTATTTTTATAAAACACTATTAATCTGCTTTTTCTAGTTCAGTCACAAGGAAAGGTTTGTAATTGTATAGTATGTGTCTTTAAATATCCTCAAAATAATTAATGTAGTTTTATGGTCATTAAAATATTTAGCTTAGATTTTGCTTCAAAAAGCTGAAACTCAGCCCCATCTGGTATGGCTCAGTGGATTGAGTGCCAGCCTGCAAACCAAAGGGTTGCTGGTTCAACTCCCAGGTGGGGCTCATGCCTGGGTTGCAAGCCAGATCCCCAGTAGGGGATGCACGAGAGGCAACCACACGCTGATGTTCTTTCCCTCTTACTCTCTCCCTTCCCCTTCTCTAAAAAAAAAAGAAAATGTTTTTTTTAGAAAGCTGAGAATAATTGTGCAGGGGAAGTAAGATGCAAAAAAGGACAATTGCATGCCAAGCATTAAGTGTCAAAGCCTTTACAAGTAAAACAGTGTTTTGAGAAGGGACAGATAGACCTCACCTGAGGTAGGTTGGCAATACCTCCCTGAAAGGATGGCATTTTCTAGGCATTAAAGCTGGGAAGGAATTCAAGCAGAAATTGGTATAGAAGGGCATTCCAAACAGGACAGTGTAAGTGAGGGGGCGTGATGTGTAGACAGTTACTAAATAAGTAACTAAGTAATAATTTAATGAAATTAAAGCCGCAGAGCTCTGTCCCTGCGGATAGGAATGGTAGCTAGGTCCATGGTGAGAGAGGCCTGGATTTGTCGGTCTGAAAAAGGTGGGCTTCTATCTTACAAGCACAGGTGAGCAGCAGGGTATGTATGTGTGTAAATGGTTCATTTTAGGAGAATTCATGTAAAGAGAGTTTCCAGGATGTATCAGATAAGAAGAGCGTAGAAATTTAGACCAGTTAAGCAGTTTTAGAAACCTCTTGGCTGTGGTGATAACCTGAACAGAATGGATGACAGAGAATGAGGGAGGCAGGGGCAAGGGAAGAATCTGCAGTGCCTGGTGAGTGAAGAAAAGGGGGAAAGGTGACTTCGGTCAGAAAGATTAGAAATGAATCTGCCCGCCTGGGCGTGGTAGATTCCAGCTGGGGGTCTTGGGCCGGTGGCAGGTGTTTATTGGGTTTCGAGGGTGCTGGCCCACAGAGGCCAGGGGGACGAAGCAGACTACACAGCTGTGTAAGAAGATAGAGCAAGAGGGACATCACTGACTTACTACAGAAGCTTAAGAAATGTGGTTAAAAGGGAGGAGAGAGGTTACACAGTGGCTAGAGGGAACCAGATAAGTAATTTTTTTATTCTAAAATGGAAAAGACTTACTCAGATTTGACAGTAGAGCCATCAGATTTGACAGAAAGAATACATTTTAAATAAGGCCCTGAGGAGTTCAGAGTGAATGGGCCCATGGGTGGCAGGATGCCTCTTCCTGAAATAGAATAGAAAGATAACTTTGTTTATGGGGGGTAGCCAGGGATGAGGTTGGGGCTAGGAAGTTGTCATTTATCAGGGTTGGATGGGACTGGACTGGAGCCAGCAATTGAAGGGTGACAGGCATGGAAAAGATTTGGAATGGCTTAGGAATTTGGGGAGGGAAATTTTTTTTTTTTTTTAGATAAAGTGAGAGACTCGATTGTCAGCAGCTAAGAAGTGGGCAGAGTCACTTTGGGAGCTTGCAAATGGAAAAGATGGGCCAAGTAGGCCTCTAGCCTGGAGCTCGACACTAGCCTGGAGCATTCAGCAGCAGTTCATCTAAGTGCTCTGGATAGTGCTCTCCACTGGGTTCCAGGAAGCCTTTCTATTTAGAAGATGCAGTCTCAGGATCGGATCCCCTTCACAAGGGCTTGCGGGGGGGCGGGTATGAGACAGGACCCGCTTTGCACTATGTGCCCCACTGTGGTTACAGCATTCCCTGTTCTCAGTACAAGTCATTGCAGGTAGACTGCTGGTCTTTTTATTGTTGCTTATTTACTGTACTATATATAGGTAGACAGTGTTGAGTGGCATTAACCAGTATGTGGTAAAATCAGTGGTTCTTCTTTTGCAGTCCAAACCAGGTTGCAGAAAAGGTGGCCTCCAGAATTGCTGAGGGCTTCAGCGATACTGCTCTCATCATGGTAAGTCTTTCTTTATTGCCCAATGTGTTTTCTGTTTATAGGATGGCTTCTGAGCATTTTCTTGCTAACAGAGAGCTTTGCTGTATAAGCGGTCTTCATTTCTGCAGATATTCAGACCATTGCCACTTTTTCCAGTCACAGCACACAGGCCTCCAAAAGGGGGGAGTCATTCCAGTTCAGTGGTTCTCAAAGTAGTGTCCCTACATTGGCAGCATGAGCACCAGCTGAACTTGTTAGGGATTTAGGTAGATAGGTAGCTGGCATATGAGAGGGACCTCCCCCCACCAAAAAAAATGGAATTATCTTGTGGAAGGTGGGCCCTTTGTAGTAAAGGCTTCATCCACTAGGTGAGTGTTCTAGAAACCCATCTATAGCCATATACCAGCTGGTGTTGTTGTGAGGGGCTGCGTTCAGCTTCAGTGAATTGTTTTTGAAGACTCTTTCAATGCATTTGCCCATTTCATGATGGATGATTTATAAGCACACCTGCTTACACCGTGTGCTGAGTGTTCAGCAGTTTTTGACCAAAAAAATGGCATGACCCCCATGCCCTACCCTCTTATACAATGGATCTCACACTCTAAGTACTTTTTTGTTTGTTTGTTTCCTGGGATGAATAAAGTCCTCATTCCTGGCTGGTGTTGCTCAGTGGGTTGAGCTCAGGCTTGTGAAACTGAGGATCACGGTTCGATTCCAAGTCAGGGCACATGCCTGGGTTGCAGGCCAGTTCCCAGCAAGGGACGCATGAGAGGCAACTGTACATTGATGTTTCTCTCCCTCCTTTCCCTCTAAAGATAAATAAATTTAAAGATATTTAAAATTTTTTAAAAAGTCCTCAAAGGGAAGCATTTTGCTGATGTGGAAGAGGTAGAACAAAAAATGGCAGAAGCACTAAAAAGCGTCAAAATTGACAAGTTTAAAAACTTTTGAGTAGTAGAAGAAAGTCTTGATTAGTGTATTGCATCAAATGGAGAGTACTTTGAAGGTGATGGAAGTTTAAACATGTAAGAATAAAGACACAATTTTTAAAAAAATAAATTCTGGGTTTTGGGGGGTTTTTTTTAGTCCACTCTCATAAGAGCCTGTTCATAATCTCAATTTAGACAATTCTAGCAGGGAGGGAAGAAGCAATGTTTGAAAGCCCCACTTTTGTGAACAAAACAAATAGCATTTATCCTGCATGACACGGTTTTTTTACCATAGGCCACACTTGTGCAATCCCACGCATCATATTTCCAGTGTCTGTACACTCTCGGGCAAGGCTTCTGTGTGGGCCACGGGGAGATGCCTGACAACCTCTAGAAAGGTGCTGGCTCTTGACTTTTATTAGTTCCTTTCACAGCTGTGTCCTTTGTCTTGTGTGCAGGTGGACAACACTAAGTTTACGATGGACTGTGTGGTACCCACGATCCATGTGTACGAACACCATGAAAACAAATGGCGGTGCAGAGACCCACACTAGTGAGTGCGGTGCCCTCAGAATGACCTACGTGCAGGCTGTGCCAGGGCCTGTTGCGAGTACCCAGGTCCCATGGAAGGCTGATCCCAGCTTCCTGTGTTTTTCAGTTAGCCTGTTCTCCAGAGGCATGTACAGTCTTCATACAGAAGTCATGCATGTTCCTGGGCCCCTGGGGAACCAAGGCCAATAGGGCTTCAGAGCCATAGAGAGAACCTGAGTGTTATGCAGGGTCTTCCCAAACCCCAGGGCACCTCTCCATAAGCCAAAGCCCCTTTCCGGGCATTTGGTTTGGTTTATTTGTAATCACTCAGAAAGTATCAGTCATCTACCTCCAGCTTTTTCAGCATTTCATCTGGAGGGCGTCTTGTGTTATCCATATTTTATATTGTTGATGTACATCTTTATGTGTTTAAAATGTACATGTTTGCTAGTATTCATTGTCTTCCTTTATACTGCTCTGTGGGGCTGGTTTTCTGTTTACTCTGTTGAAAAGCCAAACCTTGTTTCATTAAGAGGTTGATCTCTCCTGTTTCACCCCTTAGTGACTACTGTGAAGACTGGCCGGAAGCCCAGAGGATCTCAGCGTCGCTCCTGGATAGCAGGTCCTATGAAACACTCGTCGATTTCGATAACCACCTAGATGACATCCGGAATGACTGGACGAATCCAGAGATCAACAAAGCTGTTCTGCATCTGTGTTAGGGAGGGATTTCAGTGACTAGCCTCTGGGCATTTCCACTAGGCTAAAGAAGAAAAGCTATTTTTAAATGTAAATAAAATATCTTATGGCCTGTGTGGAAAGCTGAGTTTTCAGAAGTGGCATGTGCCTTGAAAGAGGGCAGAATGTCCCAAATGTCTTTTTAATGCAGAGTCTCTAGCAGAGGTACGGACTGCCCAGTCTGACCATCCTGTGGAGTTCTTTCCAGCTGTATGTTGCCATAATCCTCCCAGTCAGAGCTGTTTCTGCTTGTCCAGAATCATTCCTATTAAACAGTTTTAACTAATCTTTTTTAATCTGGAAAGGATGCTTTTTAAGACTTATGAATTATCTTTTTTAAAAAAGCCCACATCTTATACCCGAATGAGAGCATGTGTGTGAGTTTTCATCCTGTTTGAGTTAATATCACCCAGTCCCGGGATTGGGCAGGCGCATACTGTGCTGGTGCTCAGCCGATGCCTGAGAACCTGTGTGTTGCTGCTTAGCAGTCGGGAGGCCACAGCTATGAACAGTACTGCCCCACGTGGTGTGGGGTGCACTGCTGCAACTCTGCACAGTGGGAATAAAGCTACTGTTGCCTGGGAAACCTTCGCCACTCAGGGTAAAAACAAACATCGTTGGTAATGGGAGTGCAGTGTGATGCTTCTCCATTGACCAGAAAGCTTGTAACCTGTGCAATCAAAAAGGAAACACAAAACAGTACTCAAATGATTTTTAAAAAGCAAGAGTCAGACCTAACTCTTAACTTGCATGATTATCTAAATGATTCTTATTCATTATTTGTTTTGTATTTGAAGTAACAGGAGCAAAACAAAACTTAGATTCCCCAAGTTTTACAGAGCTTGTCTGTAATGTTTATACATAGAACTTACTGTGGTTAAACTTTTTTGATCCAGTCACAGGAAGTTGTTGGGGAAATTTGATGGTACCATTGCATTTTTTGTGTGAATTATTTTGTGCAGACTTCAAAGAATTCTATCTTTCCTAATGAATATCTGATGACATGAAGGAAATTTATAACAGTGATCTGCTAAAAGGGTTTGTGACCCAGCATTCATTTTCTATTGCCAAATAGGAAATATTTTTCAGATATTGCCTATAATAGCTGTGCTTTATTTGATCCACCAGATTCTCTCTTCCCCTGTCTTCAAACTCTTCTTACCCTTAATTTTGGAAGCTGACATTGCTTTGCGTGGGGAACACAAACCGAGGGGTGGTGGGTCAGTAGCACGCTTCCATCCTTCCCACTGCCCTCACCTCAGAGCCCAGGACCTCGGCAGTCTTGTTCCACATGGTTTGTGTTTGTTTCCAAAAGGAAGAGGAATCACCGCCTGCGTTTACCACAGACAGGCTGTGTTTTCCTAGGATTCAGATGGGTGTGCTACATCCAGTTCAAGGTCAGAGCTACGTGGAATCGAGGTGTGTGTAAAGCTAGTTGGGGAGGCATCTTAAAGATAGTCTGAAAACCACGGTGGTTTCCTTCATTTTCACCTCTGTGGGATGGCTGCAGGGGATTCTCGCACCAGCTTCCCCAGAGCTTGTGCCATCTTCCAGTTTGGTTTTAGCCTGGATCCTGGTCCTCGTGGCTGAGTCTGGCTTAGATTTTCAGAAGGCATATCAAATATTTGGAAGGAAAGAACACATTTGTAGGAAAAACATTCCTAAGATACAGTACCTTGTAGAGATACTACAAGAGATGTAGCATCCTTGTGGACATGGGAAATGCCTCTGCCGGCCCCCGGCTCCTGTGCTGGGCCCCCTCCCTCTGGTCTGTCCAAGCCTTGCTGTTGGCCGCTGGGCCTCCAGGGCCCCCCAGGATAAAAGTGAGACCTATCAAATAGAGTACAAAATGTATGCATACTCTGCCTTCATACAGAAAAGATGAAGGGAGCAACACAAAGTATACTTGTATATTGAGGAAATCTGTTGGTCACAATGTTCTTAATCTGAAAGGCTTAGGGTGGGGGCGGGGAGCAGGGGGGTGATAACCCCACTGAGCCATCCACACGCTCAAAATCAGTCTGGTGAAAATTTACCTCCTGCATAACATCCATCCACTGGGAGGTGAGTAGAGTAGGACAAAAGTATTTTTCGTTTCTAATCACGGTGGCATTTAAGAACTGAGGATACTAAAATGGAAAAGTAAGCAATAACTTCATAAATAAAAAGCAATATGCTTGCTAAGGAAAAGTTGATTTTGCTGGTTCTAATGGAATTAGGTGCATATAGAAAGCAACTTAGAAACCTTGAGTAACTTAAATTTTCAAGTTAATTTTCCTGGGATCTGCTGTTTGTCAGCCTGATCAGAATAAAAAGTTCTTGCATAATTAGGTTTGATTTGTTAGCTTATTTTTCTGATTGATGTACTTGGAAAACCTGTTCTTGCATACAGTCATTCTCACCTCTTCTGTCCTACCTTTTTTGTTTGGCCTTCAAAAGAAAAATATTTGCCTCAAAACTGCCCCTTTTTAGGATTATTGCTGTCTTAACACAGTAGCTGCTTTATGACATCATGATAATGGAAAATAGCCATGGGCATTCATCTCTATACCCTGTGGGCATTTTTAGCAATTTTAGTGAGGAGAGCTGAATTTAAAAATAGACTTCCGCTCACTAATTGACATTTGTAAAGGCTCTCTGTCAACTCGCTGTCTCTTAAGCACTGGGTTTTTTCTTCAGTTCAATAGAAAGCCTGGCCCAGATGGTGGTTTGTGTTCCCCGCCAGCTCTCCAGTGGGTGGCAGGTTAATCTGACTCCAATTCCACACACTCGGAATCCAGAGGGTAAGTATGTTTGTTTCACAGTGTTGACTTACACCTTAAATTGCTTAAGATATTCTTGTGTGGGATGCAAAATCTGATCAAGTTTATTACTTCCTAGAAATAATGGCCATTCTAAGGAGCCTTTTCTTCCTTAACAATTGACTTCTTGAGGTGGACATTTCCTCGATATGATCTGGAGGTTTTTCTTTAGCATGTGAGATGCACCTTTAGAACTGTAAGAACTGTATTCCGGTCTTTGCTGTTAGAATATGACAAGTGCCAGCAGAGTATCCACTGGGATTTGACTGGAGGAAACTTTTGGCTTGAATTGTGTTGTGTTGTAAAGCAGAATAGCATCCTATATTTAGCACTGTCTAAAAAATTCCAGATGCCATCGGTAAACCTGTAAATAGTTGATTTCAGAATGCTCGTGAAGTTCTGTGGGCAAGCGTCCTGCCCCTGGTAGGGGACAGTTCTAAGGTTTGGGGTGTCTGCCGCAAAGCAGGAAGCTTGCTGAATGTGCCAGGGGCCCTGGGGGTGCCCCAGGCACTGAGGATTAACTAAAGCCTTTCCTGCCCTCTAGGTCCCCTTCTCCTTACTAAGGAAGAGTGGGTCATTTCTCAGGATTGGATGTTCTCAAAAAAGAGATCCTTCCTGCCCTGACCAGGTGGCTCAGTTAGCTGGAGCGTTGTCCCCTACACCAGAAAGTTTGCGGCTTTGATCTCCAGTCAAGGCACATGCCTAGGTTGCATGTTTGATCCCCAGTCGGAGCAACCGATTGATGTTTCTCTCTCTCTCTCATCAATAAATATGTTCTTGGGTGAGAATTTTTTTAATTTTATTTTTTAGAGAAAGGGGAAGGGAGGGAGAAAGAGAGGTAGAGAAACATTGGTATGCAAGAGAAACATGGATCAGTTACCTCTCATTTATATGCCCCCAACCGAGGACCTGGCCTGAAACCCAGACATGTGCCCTGACTGGGGATCGAACCAGTGACCTTTCATTTCACAGCACTCAACCCACTGAGCCACACCAGCCAGGACATAAAATATATTTTTAAAGAGACTTTCTGTTGCCCCCAGCAGAGCCTCGTTTTTTCCCTGATAACTCCAAAGGAGGCAGTGGTGTCTGCTGTCAGCTGATAGAAGAGGTGTGTGGTAGTGAGTAGTCAGTGCCAGGCGTGAATCCCAGCTTTGCCACTTTCTGCTTCTGTGGCTGTGAGCACGTTCCACCTCCGGTCTTGTCAGAAGCATGAGGGTGATAACCCCTGCTTGCACTGGTCATGAAGGCCAGAGGGAGTCGTACCTGTGCTAGCACTTAGCAGAATGAGTTAGGGCTGCACTGAAAAAAATGCTTAATGTGTTAACAATTCTAGAACATACTCTGGGTCAGACTGATAAGTGCTTATTCCCAGTAAACATTCAGTGACCATCTACTGAATGAGTAAACGAGTGAATAAAAACATTGCTCTCCAAAGATAACCGCAGCTTACATGTCTTACTCTCATTTACATTGCCTTCCCAGCCTGTGGTGGTGAAGAATGAGTGAAGTAGACTGGAGTGGCTATAGTCACGCTGCTAAATTACTTAAGTAGGCTGAGGCAGAGGAAGCGGAAGCTTGCTTTTAACTAGCCTGGGAACCTAAAAAACTGAACACCCCCAGTTATGCCTGAAGATATAGATATATAGGTCCTTATAGATAACCCTATGATTGCCCCTGAAGGACTTGGAGAGGAGTAGTTACGGTCTAGAACACAAATCGTCTAGAGCAGGGTCCCCAACACACACACCCACATACACACACACACCCCACGTTCGGACTGGCACTGCTCAGTGGCCTGTTAGGGCCCTGGCCACGTGGCAGGAGGTGAGCAGCAAAGCTTCATTCCCATTACCACCTGAGCTCCGCCTCCTGTGACACCCCCGCCTGCCCCATCCGTGCAAAACTGTCTTCCGTGAAACAAGTCCCTGGTGCCAAAAACTTGGGGACCACTGGGTTAGAGGACCACTGTCTCGGACCAATCCAGAGTCTGGGAATGCAGGACTGTTCTGAAGAACATACTTTTTACTGTAAGAACTCTGTTTTGCTTCTTCAGAGCACGCCAGGCACTACCCAGCTGTGCTTATGATTTGCAAACCTAAGAACCCCGAGTAAGCCTTGACCGTTTGTTTCTAGCTGATGCCTTCTGACTGTGCTCACATTGGAAAGGCTGACACAAGTACTGCCACAGGTAATGAGCATTCTGTGTGCTTTCTCGTGTACATATGTACACATACGATTTTATGAAGATGGGAACCTTTGGGGGCTGTTTGTTCAGTGTAGCCCACAGTGTGTGAGAGCTCCAATTTCTCATGTCTTCACCCAACACTTTGTTATCAGTCGTTTCAATTTTAGAAGCTTTGGTGATATATAATGGTATCTTATGGGTTATTGGCCTAAATATGAAAAGTAAAACAATAGAGTTTCCAAAAAGTAACGGAATGTATTCATGACTTTGGGCTTGGCAAAGAGTTACTTTATTTATTTTTAATCCTCACCTGAGGATGGGTTTTTTTTTTTATTGCCTTTTTAAAGACAGAGGCAGGGAGAGAGAAACATTGTTGTGAGGGAGCGTACCAGTTGGTTTACCCCTGCATGTGTCCGGGCCAGGGATTGTACACACCGGGACCAGGAGTCAGACCCAAGACGTAGGTATAGTCCCTGATCAGGAATTGAGCCCACGACCTTTGGTCACAGAATGACACTCCAGCTGACTGAGCCACACTGGCCAGGGCTTGGCAAAGATTTTTAAACAGGACACAAAGAAATAATAAATTGTGCTACCTTAAAATCACAAACTTATTTATTAAAACACCATTAGGACAATGAAAAGGGAAGCCAGAGACAGAAAGAAGATATAAATTTATAATACGATTATACAACAAAATAATTCTATGCAATATATCTATCCCAATATATTTAAAATTACAGGTCAATTTTTTTAAAAAGAAAAAGATAATTGATCCACCACTTCCCAAAAGATCCCCAGTGGCCAATAAGCGTGTGAAAACGTGATCAACCAATGTCGTCAAGGAGAAGCAAACTGAAAACAGGATAGTCCATTTCTCAATGGGAAGAAAGTGTCACGAAAGAGTCCAAATGTCCTGCGTACCCCAGGAAGTCTCGCTGCAACTCTATCAGGATGCACCCGTAGAAAGAGCAGCCTTCACAGCTCAGAATATTGGGAGAGAGTATTTCTGAAACTCAGCTTTCATACCTGGCCCAGGTAGAGAGGAAGTAACAGTTCAGGGTCTGAGGGCCTCAGCTGTGGTCTCTCCTGGCCTGCCTAGAACGCGTCCGTCTGCAGGACTTAGGGAGACTACTGTGGCACCTCGGCCTCCCACCTGGTCCTGCCACCTGGTCCTGCCCGGCAGCTCAGAGCTGGACCTTCTGGAGCAGCATTGTTCTGCTAATCACCTGTAATTTCTGGAATTTACTCAGCAGCCTGCCTTCAGAGGAGCTCAAAAGCCATTTGTAGATCCTGCTGATAAAATGGCTGCCCCAAGGTCAGGTAAGCTCTCTGCCAAATTACTTCTGGGCTAAGAGGCAGTTTTCAAAACTCTACAGAGACCCAGGGTGCCTTTATAGCAGGCTCCACGCAGCTGGAGCCTCGGGGACGAAGGCACTGTTCATCTAAGCATTATGGGATTATCGGGGATGGCTGGTACTCTCCGTAACAAGAGTATGTGGTTATCGATGCAGGCTGATGTACCCGCAGAGGCAGCCACACACCAGGCTGCACTTACATCTGGGCAGAGAGAAACTGAGGCAGGACTGGGTGAGTCTGGCAGACCTGTGGCAGAAAACAGGAGTGTGTTTTGGTTGGAAGACCAGTGGAGCAAATAGATGGGGAGAAGTCCAGGACCCAAAGGAAATGAAGATTCAGCTGAGTGTTCTGTCTGTTTTCCCCAGGAACAGAATTCTTTCTAGAACCCCAGCAACGAGTTCCTGGGCTCCCTCCCTAAATGTCTTTCCCAAGCAGCCCAGCATTGAGACAAGCCCCGTGTGGGCACAGCCTAGGTCACTCTTCTGGGGACCCCAGCCCTTCCCTGGTCCTGCAGGAAGATTGGGGTGGGAACTGGCTCCCGCACCCCCACCTCTGCAATGTCTAACCCAGCCAATTCACCGCCCTTCCATTAGCCCTTTGGATGCTGTGTTGGGGGAGCAGAGACACAGGAGTGACCCACAGACCCTGCCAATAGGCTCTTAGTGTGATAAGTGCCGGAACAGGGGTGCAGGCAGGATGAAGCCCATTTCAGGCGATGGCTGTCTCCCCATAGGAGGTTCCCTGGGGAAGGTAGAAGGCCTGGAGCAGAGAGAAGCACCGGGTGGGGCTTCCATCTGAGCAGTCAGGGAGACGGACAGAGCCAGGTGGGGAAGGTGCACAGGGTGAGGAAGGCAGGCTGAGACAACTGAAGTGTTTCCTATCTCTGGCCACTGTCTCTCCTGTGCTTGGGCCAGTTCCGTGTAGCTCTGCACTGACCGGCCCGATGGCACTAAGGATTGGATGGTGAACAGACCCTGGCAGTAGTTGTGGGAACCCTCGGCCCAGGTGCTAGGCCTGGGGGCCGGCGTCACAGCCAACTTACCTCCTTTCTCTTTGCACCTCTGGTGCATCCAGAGCAGGCCAGCCCCCCGTGTCTGGAATGGTGGAGGGGTGTATAGGTGCAACCTGCTCAGGCCCCGTGGGGCAGGGGGCGGGGCATTGAGGCAGGATGAAAATGTTCACAGTAAGTCAGAAAAAGAAAGTGGTCCTTTGTATACACAGACTTCCCTCCTCTCTGCTGATGCCCAAGAGGCTCCCTATGGTAAGAGAACACAGTGGGGTTTGAGAACAGGCCCTCCCACCCTCCCCCTAATCCACTTCCCACCTTGCCTAGTACCTGCTGTGAAACTGCTTTTGCTGGTTCCAACTTCCTGAACCACAGGGGAGGCACCTATCCCAGACACACTCCCAAGTCCCACCCCAGGGGGCCAAGGTCAGCCTCCGGCAATGTTTAACTTACATCCATTCTCAGAATCACAGAACCCCTGAAGAAACCCCAAGAAGAAAAAGTCACTAAGTTTGCCCCATGGCGGTGACAAGAGTGCCTTCACAGGACCGAATGCAGTCCTCATGCAGTCCCCTCTCAGCAGACAGCGAGGACTGCGAGCTCGCCTCCCCTCTGGCCTGCTCCGAAACACGCAGCGGGGCCCGAGGCCTCTGCTGCTCCCACTCAGGGACGGGTGTTTCTAGGCAGGGCCCGGGGTTCAGGGCTGTGTGCCAGCCCACGACCGCCTGCACCCAGCTCCACTTCCTGTGCCTCCCACGGTCCATGGCCGCCTTTAATTCCAAGAACTTTCTTTATACTCCTGAGGATGTCAGAGTCGAGCCCTTTAGAGATGTTTTCTTCCATCTGAACCCCAAAAAGCTCCAGAGATAAGTGCAGCCTGAGGAACGTGCTGGGAGAGGGGCCTGTCTGCTCACTGCCTTGGCGAGCTTCATCCGGACTTCGTAGAAATGGGGTGAGTGAGTGCATTCCGTGGGTTTCACAGTCTGAGCAGACAGATGTCCTTGCCATGGCTGACTTGGCTCCTAGCAGCTTGCTGGAAATGCGGGTCTCTCTGACCGGCTGGTCCCACCACCCACTACAGCTCTTGGCCTCGCAGCTCTCTACCTAACCTGGATCCACCCGTTCACCTGTGGCTGCTTGTCTGGCTGTTTCAATTTGAAGTCCGCAGGCCGGGACTCGGCCACCCTCCTGCTCTGGGGTTGTCTGTCTGCCATTCACGTGGGCGTCACTGGAGCACAGCACCCTGGCCCACCACCATTATGAGGGCACCTCGTCCTGCTTCAGGGAACAGTGGTCTGCTTTCCCTCCCCAACCCCCCCCCCAGCCCCTCTCAGAGAGCTGAGGCCACAGGCACCTGCCCATGAGGGGAATGTGTGCAAAATGACGCTGGAGCCTGGAAAGCCTCCATCCTCGCAAGGTCTCAGGATCATCAAGTCAACCATCCCCATGGACCAGGTGTGGTGACCACATGCCTGACACACCCGATTTCGGGGAACTGACGGTCCTTGAAACAGCTCAGCCCAGTTCTGACTGCTGGAAATTTCCCCTCTGCTATATAGAAACCCTTTTCCTGAAACCCCCCCACTAGACCCCCGTAAAGGTCCCAGGTGAGCCTTTCAGAAATGGTCACGGCCTTCATCTCCTCCTTCCTCCCCTGTTGTGGTTTCAGTTCCTCTTGCCACGTGGGCTTCTGTCCTCTGCATGGTCTCCAGTTGGCCAGTTCCTCCATCCTCGGGGCCAGAACTGGGGGTATCAGCCAGGGATTAATGGCACAGAGTAAGCTCCAAAAGCCACAGGGGCCATTGGAAGGCCTGAGCTTAAAGGTAATTTTCCTTCTCTGCGAAGGGCAGGCATTTAGTCCAAATGGGCAGAGTCGGGCCAGCCGGGGACAGGGAGCAGCCACGGCCCAGATGGCCACCCCAGAAGAGCCAGCGACTATCCCCAGCCTGAGATGCCAGATGGCCACTGGTCTCTTCTCCTAGAGGTAAGAGGGGGTCGCTGGGAGCCTTGCAGGGGCTCCCTCGCAGGGCCCGGAGGGAAAGCAGCCTGGTTCAGGGCTGCCTCCAGAGGCCTGGCGGGGGGCCGGCTCTCTGTCCTCTTTGTTGATCCGTAACGTCGCCTTCTCTGTGCCGGCCGTATGGCAAGCGCTTTTCTCTGCTTCTCCTGAATTTTTAAAACTGTGTCTTTTCTTATAGCAGAAGTGGTATACACTCCTGGGATATTTTTTTATATAAAGATTACAGCAGATTACACTGGAGGAAGAGGTGGCAGAGCTGCTTCCTCCCACCCCCACCCCCACCCTCACCAAACCACGGTTCAGTGTCGGCCGCTCCAATTTAAATCAAATGAGATATTGAAATTCAATGGCATGTAGAAAAGAAAGTTCATTTTCTTCTCACCATTGGCTGCCAGTGCCCGGGGGAATGTGGTATTCATCTGTTGCACAATTCATTTGCTTGGAGAGTGGAGCCCGCTGCCAAGGAGAGAATTTCCAAGCATTTGGTTTTGTCTCTAGGCTGCAAGGGAGCTGTGACCCCCTTCGCTCCCCAGCTGAGGCTGCCAGGCCTTCCGGGGAGGTGAACTGCACTCTGGGGTCCCAGGGCCACCGGAAGGCAGCTCTAAGATTCAGAACTCTCCCTTCTGCGTGCACCCCCCAGCTGTGGAATATTTTTCCAGCTGGGAGATTAAAGATGAAGCTGCTGGTGGCCAAGTCCTCAGCAGCATTTAATAAGTTGATTGGACTGGGTGTGCGTGGGGCCCCCTAAAGTCAGTGGGTGGCGCTTTGGTCTTCCAGACAGGCCTGTCCCTGCTGAGGAGGGGCCCAGCGCCCAGTTGTCTATAGCCAGAGCGGGCATCATCTCCCAGGATTAATGCAGGCCCCAAGCACTGGGGGGCCACTTGGCACCTGACTTGACTTGAAAAATGATTTGCAATCTCCAGAAAGGGAAAGAGGCAGAGCACTGATAGAGGCAGCATACAGACAGGGGTCAAAGTGCCAGTCATGAGCCTGGCTGGCTGAGCCAGGATCCCGGGTCCAACACTTACTAACTGGTAATGCCGGGCAACTTCACCTTTCTGCCTCAGTGTCTTCATCTGTGAAATGGGGATAAGGATGCCTCCCTTTTGTATTGGTTGTCATTAAGTCAGTTCTCTTGTATCTGGGACATGGTAAGCACTATATAAACATTCTGGATAGTTGGTGATGCAGGGCTTTTATTACCAGATGCTGGTCATGAAACAAATAGCCAGATTTTTTCCCCATGTCAACTCAGTGACAGTACTGTTGTCCCATCTTTCAGATGTGGAAACTGAAGCACAGAAAGGGTTAAGTGACTTACTCAAGGCCACTGAGTTAATTCATGTTTTTAATTCAGGGAAGTTGTAACTTTTTATTGTGAAATTGTTCAAGTACAGGAAAGTATGAAGGATACCTTAACATGCACTTATAAAGTATTTGCTGAAGTTTTGAAGAGGTAAAATGCTGAGATGCTACCGGCGTGGTCCTCCTGTCCCATCCTGTCTTTGTCTTCCTTCTTCCCAGAATCAAACACTTATCTGCAGCTTTCTCAGAGAGCTCATTAGTGTTTTATGCCCATTTATAAACTGCAATGTCTTTCTCAAAATGTTCAGATGGATGTCACACCTTAGTTTTGCTTTCCTCCCACTCAGTAAGCTTTTGAGTATTTCTCACATGGACGCCATCGATCCAGTTCTTTCATGGTGGCTGTTGTGTGGTTTTCCATTGGAGGAGTAGGCCGTGATAATAGGCCACAGGTTGCCATTCATTCTTCTGACAAACAGAGCATTTCCGAGTTCTTTTACCCAAGGTGCCACAGTGAGCACCCTCCTGCCACTCCTCGTGGTCACAAGTGCACGGGTTCCTGGGAGACACAGACCCATGAGTGGGGTGGCTGGGCGGCGGGGCACGAGCTTCTCCAGCTGTTGTCAAGCTGCCCCCCAGGAGTGTCCCACTTCCACTTTATGGGCAGGGGAGTTCCCAGCTCTCCAGCCAGGACCAGCCTCCCCTCGTGGCTAATTCAGTAAACGCCTGCCAGCAAGCGCAGCCCGCCAGGCCCTGCACAGGGTTACCAAGTGACGAAGCCGTGCCCAGGAGCCCTGTCTCCAGAGCCCACATGGGAGACTCTACAGGCCTCCGTCTCTGGCCCCCTCCAGCACTCACTGGGCTGCGATTTACATAATTGGCTGTTTGTATGTTGCCCCCCCCCATACCAGGCAATGATCCCCTCCAGTAAGGGGTCAGGGTGGTCCTATTTTTTGTATCTCTAGACCTACACTGTCTGGCATGCCAGCTGACAACCACATTTGGCTCCAGGGACTTGAAATGTGGCTTGTTGAGATGCACTCTTAGTGTAAAAAGTACACAGCACCCTTGGAAGGCTGAGTATGAAAAGAAAGAAGGTAACTGATCTTATTAACAAATTTTATATTGACTATACGCTAAAATGATACCTTTTGGATTACATGAACTATGTTATTGAAATGAATTCCATCTGTTTCTTTTTAATTTTTTTAATAAGGCTACTAGGAAATTACAAATGGCCCTCGTGACTCAGATCAGACTTGAGTTGGATGGTGCCACCCTACACTTTGCCAGACTGGCGCTGTGTGGCAGGTGCCCAGGGAAGGTTGAATGCGTGAGTGAATGAATGATCTGACGCTTGTGAACAGGAGGACCCCTTGTGTCTGAGTCTCCTCTGGCTCCATCCCTGACATTCTCAGGTAGTGGGGAGAGGCTGGTCCCTTGCATAACAACCCTGGCGCCCTCCCCTTCCTCCCTCCTCCTGCCCCAGAGGGAGGGAGGGAGTGTGCCCTGGGAGCCGATAGCAGTGGAGGGAAGGCACTGTCTGTCGGGACATCTCCCGCCGCCCCCCCCAGCGGGGCCTCGTAGAAAGCCCCACATACACCAGGGAAAAGATGTCCTTCCAGGTCTAGCGAGCACCCTCAGCCCCCTCCCAGCCCAGGCATGTGACCCCCCTCAACCCTGCTGGCACTGTCCCCACATGTTCAAAGCCCATGGGAGGTCAGGGCCACACAGCAGAGGGATGTGAGCCAGCCGCTCTGAGGAAGAGCGCCAAGGGTGCTCACCCCCCACCCCGGGCCCAGTGCCCAGGCCCTGCTCCCCACGGCACTGGCTTTGATGCTTTGCAAAAGGTTAACTTTGAAGCTGCCAGTCAGGCCCCTGAGTCAGGCGAGGCTTGAAAAGAAGAGCTCTGAGGCCTCTAGCCCACAGCCTCCTGCAGAGTGGCCCCTGAGCAGATGGTCTGAATGGTCTGGGCATGATCCTGTCTCCAAAGATGTGCAGAAACCCTCCCCATTTGTAATCTTGGGAAGGAATGGATTTTGCCTTGGGTTCCCGATCACCAAATCCTACCCCTTGAGGCACAATGGTTAAATGTACTTTAGTGGTTTTTATGTGGGAGATGTTCGACTGCAGCATTTATCCTTTCCTCTATGACAAATGCTGACCATTCATTATAATAAGGCTGGACTGTTGAATGGTGACATAGCTGGGTGCTGCTGAGCATTGAGGACTGTCCCTTCATCCCTGAAATGACTCTACTAAGCTGAGCTGGAAAAGCCGAGCTTATTCAAGTAGATTTAAAGTGAGGGCAAAGGTTCGCGCCAGGTCTCGCATCTGAGCCCTGGGTGGTCTTTGGCATAGGGCTTTGGGGCGTGGCCAGGCGAGGTCCCCAAACATGCTCTTGAATAAATGGCACTACAGCCCTTATAAGAACAGATTGGTTACATGAACAAGAATGCCCATCAAAAGCAACAGCTCCCCTACAGATCGCAAAGGATCAATCGTTTTGTCTTTGAGATGGTTCCTGGGTCTGCTAGTCCCCTGAATTTGGCACAATCTAAATACATTCAACAAAGCCAACTCACCCAAGGGCCTCAGGAGGCACGAAGACAGGAGCCAACCGTGAGGGCTCCTGCCCCCGCCACACCCCACTGCCTCCCGCGCTGCCCCTCAGGAACCTGCCCTCCCTGTCCCTGCACAGCCCCGCCCCGCCCAATGGCCTCTGAGCCTCCCACCTTGGGAGGTCCTACCCCCAGATCCCTGCTGACATGAAAACTCCCACCCAAACCCAGCATTAAACACCAATGAATTAGAAACATTTAAAAAATAATTCTCTTTTTTTAAGTTGTTTATTTTAGAGAGACAGGAAAAGAGAGAAACATTGATCGGTTGCTTGTGCCCCAGATGGGGACCGAACTCACAGCCCAGGCATGTGCCCTGACTGGGAATGGAACCCGTGACTTCTCGGTTTGCAGGCTGGCACTCAGTGCACTGAGCCACACCAGCCAGGGCTTAAAAAATGATTCTTATCATTTTTCATTTAAAATTATCTGGCTAGTAAGTAACTTCTTCGATTTAATGTTGGCTTTGAGTGCTCGGCAATCCTGCACACTCAGGAGAATGCCTGGGAAGGAAGCAGAGCCACAAAGTGCTTTCAAAGGTACGGAAACTTTTGTGAAGACTGAATTTAACAACAGATAACATGTCAATGTCTTAAGTAAACTTTTGTTAGTTTCTATTTTGTAGGTTTCCCTATATTTTAGAACCCATGGGTTTTTTTGTTTTGTTTTGTTTTTATAATTTAACTTTTGAACGGAGTAATCTATTCTCCTGATTCAAGTTTCAAAAGATAAAAGGGGACAAGGGGATAAAGTCCCCCAGGGCCTCTGCCCCAGCCCCCACACTGTCCCCGTAGGCAGGCAGCCGGGTGTCCGGGTGTCCGGTGGAGCCCTCCAGAGACACTTTGTGCTTATACTTAAGCAAAGGCACAGCCCCATTCTTCTCCCTTTTTACTGAAAGGATTGAACATTTGTATACTCTTTGCACCTTACTTTATTTCTCACTTGGCGATCTTTCTGTATTAGGATATAAAGAGCTGTCATTCTTTCTTATGGTTGCAGAGCAATCTTTTCTGTTTTTATTGTTTTTCTTTGCAACTCTCA